GGTCCCCGGGGGTTGGGGACCCTTGATTTAATGTACTGCTCAAATTCTGTCAAAATACAAAAACTTAAACTAAAAACTAAAACTAAATCAAGGCAAATTCTGGAAAATCATTAATAAAAATCATCTTCATTTAACATATTAATAAAAAGCATGATATCGATTATCACGTCAGCCAATATTGTGATATCAACACTTATAGATATATTGTGCAGCCCGTCTCCATACAGCTCACCCTTATGTCATAGACAACCTGTCATGTCAAAGTTATAATTTTTGCAGGTATGTCACATTTTGCAGGATCTTAGACGTAATTAGTATTCTTGATTTTTTTAGTTGCAGCCATGGCCTGCTGTTGCCTGCTTTAAGAGATTTGAATATTAACTGAATGAACACCTTAGTAAGATATGCCTAATAAAATGGCCTGGGAGTAAACTTGAAAACGTGTCAGAGCCGAGTCAAAACATGCAAACATCACATTTTCATTTCTATATGAGATTCAGAAAGTGAGTGAGTAGGCAAAGTGGATTACACAAACACCGGCACAAAATGGATAATCCTTTAAGTAATCCTGACTAGGGTTATCAAAAGTATGAAAAATCAAATCAGACACTAATCGGTACTAAAACTAGTATCGATACTAGATTTTGAGCAGATACTGATACTAAAAAAGTCACATTCACAGGACATAAGAGCACATAGACTATTATACGCCCATGAGCCACTCTGGATCTTACCTGGACCACTGAGGGATTACACTATGTCTAGTTGTGACTTTAGTCCCAGTTTAGTCTGTCTTAGACTAGGTTTGGTCCTGGTTTGGTCCTGGTTTAGTCCTGGTCTAGTCCCGCTGTAGTCCCGAGTCCAGTCCCAGTTTAATCCCAATCAAGTCTATGTTTAGGCCCAGTTTAGTCCAGATATAGACTTGGCTTCTTCTGGTTCCAGTCCTGCTCCAGTCCTGCTCCAGTCCTGCTCCAGTCCTGCTCCAGTCCTGCACCAGTCCTGCACCAGTCCTGCACCAGTCCTGCTCCAGTCCTGCTCCAGTCCTGCTCCAGTCCTGCTCCAGTCCTGCTCCAGCTCAGACTTTAGTCCCAGTTTTGACCAGATGCAGATGTGGTTAGGACCTTAGACCTCGGATTAGTCTTGGTCTAGTCCTGGTTTAGTTCCGCTCTAGTCCCAGTATAATCCCAGTCTAATCCCAGTCAAATCAATGTTTAGTTGTGGATTTAGGCCCAGTTTAGTCCAGATACAGACTTGGTTTCTTCTGGTTCCAGTTCTGCTCCAGTTCTGAGTTTATTCCCAGTTTAGACAAGAGGCAGATGTGGTTAGGACCTTGAACTTTGGGTTAGTCTTGGTCTAGTCCTGGTCTAGTCCCAGTCCAATCCCAGTCAAGTCAATGTTTAATTGTTAATTTAGGTCCAGTTTAGTCCAGCTATAGACTTGGTTTCTTCTGGTTCCAGTTCTGTTCCAATTCTGTTCCAGTCCTGGTCTAGTTCTGAGTTTGATCCCAGTTTAGACCAAATGCAAATGTAGTTAGGACCCTGGACCTTGGGTTTAGTCTTGGTCTAATCCTGATCTAGTATATGTTACATTCCAAGTTTAGTCCCAGTTTAGTCGAGATATAGACTTGATTTGTTCCTGTTCCAATCTTGTTCCAATCCTTTTCCAGTCCTGCCAGTCTAGTTCTCAGTTTAATCCCAGTTTAGACCAGATGCAGATGTGGTTAGGACCTTGGTCTAGTCTTGGTCTAGTCTTGGTCTAGTCTTGGTCTAGTCTTGGTCTAGTCTTGGTCTAGTCTTGGTCTAGTCCTGGTTTAGTCCTGCTCTAGTCCCAGTCCAGTCCCAGTCCAGTCCCAGTCAAGTTTATGTTTAGTTGTGAATTTAGGCCTAGTTTAGTCTAGATATACACTTGGTTTGTTCCTGTTTCAATCCTGGTCTAGTTCTGAGTTTAATCCCAGTTTAGACCAGATGCAGATGTGGTTAGGACCTTGGACCTTGGTTTAGTCCTGGTCTAGCCTACGTTTAGTACCAGTTTAGTTCAATTTTTGCCCTATAAGTGGACAAAGCCATTAAAGAACCAAAGCAGTGTGCTACAATAGACGCGTATATCCATTTTCTCTTTGCTGTATTTGTCTATGGGAGCATACAGGCCCATGAAAGCCCCCTCTGTCACACTTGCCCCGCTTCAACTCATTCACTCCATAACCCTTTCGCCCTCTCCTCCGCCGCGCTTCAATCTCTCCTCTCCCTCTTTCTACATTTCAGGTTTACATTTCAACACTGGGAACATCTAGAGGCAAGCAGCCAGCCATTGAAACAGCTCAGCCTGACTCCCCAGCGAACTGTACGTAAAAAAGACAGAAATATTACCAACATCAATATCATCTGAAATGATACAAAAACATAGAAAAACAAAGTGCTGGTGTTCTGGAAAAGATAAAGTTCTGCGTGGGATGTTGTAATAGGGATTCAAGATGGTGTCTGTGAACCGTTTGACCCCAGCACAGACAATAGAGGAAGGATGAATGCTTCAGCACATGGACTTGTGCTTTGATGAAAAAGACTATAAATTACACTCACAAGGAAAGGAGACAGGAAATTGTTGAAAATGAATAGTGTTGTTTTTGTCGTAATTGTAAAGCCTGATGAATGAACTGAAATTAAAAGGTGCACCATTTTACTTTTCTAGTGGAGGTGTGTTTGTCTCAGCTTGTAATATTTCATATTATCCATCTTCTATTTCTGTATTTACTGTTTTTTCGGACTATAAGTTGCACTTTTTTTCATAGTTTGGTTGGTCCTGCGACTTATACTCCTTTGCGACTTATATATTAAAATTTTCACATTGACAGCCGCGAGTGAGCGCTCTAGGCTTGTGTGACACTATCTGCTACTCCTGTACCATTGTCACTTCATCCTCTACTGCGCATGTCTCCTCCAGAAAAAGCCGCTGTCCTGCAGCAAGTAGTGAAATATGCAGCCGAAAACCATAATCGAGCAGCAGAAAAAAAGTTTGGAGTGAGCGAGAAACTTGTGAGAGACTGACGGAAAGCAGGGATGGAGAACACAGAACCGCACCCCCCGCTTCACAAGGACCGGGTGCACCATGCAACTTTCCTGGAAGTCATTGCATGGATCAACAAGGCTGGACTTCAATGACAACTGAAACCATCCTGTCGGGATTCAGAAAGGCCAGAATAATTCTAACTTAAACTGATGCCAAGTCTGACGACAGCTACACAAAGGAGGAAGTGGTGCTCCTTTTACCTCTAGAGGTCGCGAAGTTGCTCAGAAGTGACACCAAGGATGAAGAATTCCTCGAGAAGAGCATGCACAAACCACATGTTTCGTGAAATAAAAGTCCTAATTTAAGACCAAAATCAATATTTACTCTATTTAAAACAGATCATGCAATCACACATCACACATCATCACTTAAAATCTGTTTTTATCCACCACAAGAGTAATTAAGCATCAAAATAATATTAGAAATAGTTCAAAATCTGAGCTCCAGACGACTATGATATCCCTAGTATTAAAGCCTATTAAATTCCTAATCAAGGCAGATCACTCATTCTTTATAACGCCTTTTAACTCCAGCTGCTTCCACAGATACAGACCGATTATCGGGCTATACAAGGTCTGTACTGGTGGTTTTCTCCATCAGAGGAGCTAACACCTGATTTGACTATTGGCCATGTCTCTCTTTCGTCTGTCCTGTGTGGGCCTGCCTCAGTCTGCTGTGTGAGGAGAGGAGGAAATGATGGGAGGATGAAAGGCAGAGGAAGCATTTGTCTGTCACACAGCACAGAGCCAGATGCACTCTGGGAAATACCCCAAACTAAAGTGGAACAGATCATTCAACATTACCCTACAACTTCCCTCAGAGGAAGATTTAATATCAAAAACAAAATGGACTAATGTAACAAAATTGTCTATTTCTTTAGTTGCTCTGTTTGTTTCATTTTGGTGCTTTGCCTAAACCACAGTGCTGCCCTGCGACTGGTCAGTCCAGACTGATAAGTCCAGTCAATGCAGACGCAGGAGCTGAAGGAACAGACAATGAGTAGCTTGCAAATGAAAAAATATGGCCATACTTTTGGGTCTAATAATGATGATATTACTCTGATGCAGATCAGCTCCTCCTGTCTATTTAAAAGATCAGCTCAGTTTTCAGTCTCTCCACTAAGTGGGTCTTTTGTCTACTACTTGTGTTATTACAGTATTATCATGGAAAGCATTAAAGCCACTTGCGGCCTGTACCTGCCCATCACAGTCCTGTTCCAGACTCTGGTCTGTGAAGCTCTGTGCAGACATGCTGTCACTTGCCTTCCATCAAGAGCCATGGAAGTATCAGCTTTGATTTTCATCAAATTCACAATTTTTTATGAGACTCTAAAGAACAGCTTTGCCTGTTGTGTCCAGAAGTACAAACTAAACAGCTGTGTGTTCTTTAGACTGGGAGTTAGAGCTGGAGGGCAGGGGCGAGGAGGTGGCTCTATTTCTTCTGAATCATCTGAACACTTCAGAACCATAGGCCAATGACGCCCTGTGCTCTGACCACGTCTTACTGTTTCAGAGCTGGAAGTCATGAATGACTCAGAATGTGGCATTTTGTTTTTGAAGCCAGAGGGCTCTTCATGAAGACTCAGCACATAACTCTGAGCTGTGTTTGAAGCTACATTGATGTGTTTTTATTACGCAAACACAAAGCTCCAGACGATTGCTCAGAACTTGGCTCAAATCCTGTCCCCACTGTCAGAGCACAGTCCTGCTCTACACACATCTGAACTTGTGTCCTACTCCATGAGATGGGAGGAGGTTCTGGAGGAGGTCCTGGAGGAGGTCCTCTTTTAGCTCCCCGTCATTGAGCATGTCATCCAATAAAAACTGAGCGTTCCGATGAATTCACTGTCCCAGGCAGTCTTGGTCAACCACAGACTAAACTCAAGCCCCTCCCTCCTCTCTGTTTCACTTGCATTGTGTGTTGATGTGTGCATTTACCTTCCACCATCAGCATAGGCTCCTTGGCTCCTCCATGGGCCAGCATCTCCCTCCTGTAGCGCTCGCCCATCTCCCTGCACACACAGACAAAATTAATAAGAAACACATGATCAAAACTGTGAATGTGTATTGCATAAACAAGATTCCTTCCACTAAATAAACAATAAAACAGAGTGTGGTCACAAAAACATGCTTAGAGAACCTACAAATGCTCTTGGCGATATATTGACACAGCAGCCCACGATAACAATACTGTCCTACTCTGCTCCATGCCCCCACGGCACAATCTGCTCATGTGACAGCAGACAGACACCTGACAGGAGCAGGAGGGCCCAGGAGAGCTCAGCCTGCCAGACAATGATGAAAGAAAAATGAAAAAGCGCTGCAGGGTAAAGTCTGAGGAAAACTGTTTTGAAAAATTAATGCAAGAATGGAGAAAGAGCTCAAACTCACATGACAGAGCCAAAAAGTCAAGGATTTTACACTTGATGTCAGTATTATTCATGAAATCATCATTACTCTTTTTCTTTGGCCCTTTTTAAACATTTTATACAGTACATTGGCATTTCATGTATATGAATCTATATTTAAACATATGTCACTTTGCATCACAGACCATTTCCATTTGAATGCTTGAAACAGGTTTATAATGCCCTCTGTTGTCAACATAACACTGACAAATATGATCTACAATCTTGTTAAAGGCCCTGAACCCGATTTTTCCCATTTATTTGAGCAAATTTTGAGCTGTACAATATATCTGTACTGAGGCAAGACAGAGGTTTTATTGTCTTATTGAGAAACAGGAAGTGCGCACTGACATTCCAGTTTTTGGTCGGGTGAAATGCGCTTATAAACTGTGGTGAATAATTAGGATGCATCATGGTTAATGCATAAGGTAAGTGGGAAATAACTTGGGACCAGTTATAATGAACCATCTTTGTATTTCATGTGTTTAAGGAGTAACAATCAGGTACAGCACAGCCTTTAAGGACAAGACTGTAATTTTTGGCTTATGCGTGTACATTTAAAATTACCTTTGAAGTTAGTATGTCTGATATAAATCTAGAGATACAATTAAATAAAACCATGTTTAGGTGGAAATTAAATTCCACGTGAACAGGTTTATGTTAAATAGAGCAAACTAAATTTTGCCTGCAGTTTGTGGCCTTAAAAGCAGAGGAGCAGACAGACTAATCAGAAGAAGTAAAAATCATCAGAAGTGCTTGAGGGTGAAGTCTTTTGAACACAAGCAGGATTCAATTTTCAAAACAACTCCTGAGCTGTGTCCAGGGGCGTGCAGGCGCGATAAGGCGGGTCTCCTGACGGACTGCAGACACCTGCCAAGTCGACAGGCGCTTCATATGAGACTCATGTTGTGTGTCAAGACCCAGACTGAGCCCAGACTTCAACAGTATCCAGAAAGGGGCCTGTCAGCACACATCTGTCCCACAGGAGAAACTCAACAGGTGGGCCCTGTGGCTTGCATGGCACCAACACTAACCAGCCCACCGTGTGAACTGTTGCATTTAATCAGACTTTACTGCCAAAAGGTGTAGACTCATACTCTACTTCTACTGCAAAAACAAATACCTAAAAAACATAAGCAGCTGTTTTTCTATAGACTTAAAATAAAATGCTGTCCAAAACTTGAACAATCCAAATCAGGTAGGTTTTGCAGACATTTTTATTCAAATTTGATTACCAGTAGTCAACGCTTTCAATTTATGTTTTGGTTATCAAGGAAATTAACCAATCAGAAAGCAGCATATGCAGCCAGTCACTAATCAGGGTCAGTGCTAGTGCAGATCAGTGAGTGAATTCTGCAGGTTCTGAGCTTTAACATGAGGCATGGCCTGTCCATATACTGACAATGAGAAAATGTGCACGTGTCCTCTCTATATGAAGATTTAGGCACTGTCAAGTCACGCGCAGTTGTGATTATAATAGCTCTTCTAAACTAGTGTTGTAATGATATTAAAGTTTAAAACTCGATCCCAATACTAAAGAATAGTGGTGTGCAAAAATATCCAAATATCGATATATTGTATCGTTTAATGTGATGATACAGTATCGATACCGTGGACTGCTGTATCGATATATCACCATGAGTATTTTTTGGTATATTTTACAACATTTTTTTGTCACAGTGCTACAGTTTAGTTGCTTGTTCAGAGTAAGGAAACTCGTTTATGTGACACATTTGACATTTTCACAGTTTTGACAGTTAAAATATTTGTGTTTCATATTAACTCTGCTCAAGAACTGGTTTAACAAAAACTTTTAGCATCACACCCATGATTTAGCCTTTATTATTTTCATCGATTTGAAATATATCGTATTGAATCAAAAGCTCACTGTATCGAGGTATGTATCATATCGGCAACTTCTTAATAATACCAAACCTTACTAAAGAGTAGACTCAATACCGATGCCAGATGATAATAAAAACAATCTTTCTTTAATCAACAGAATATTATTTTCGACACTGAATCAAACTGTAGTACTTTCTCAGATATTACCCTGTAGATTTGCATGTTTTTCTTCATGATATTTTCACAATAAAAATCTCACAGTTGGATATTTATTGCAGTATTTTGTGGAGGCCTATAAAACTCTAAATATGTTACTGTTTCCTCTTAAAATGTCAAACAGATTTAGGTTCTCTCATAATCCAAAGAACTAAGATTTGAAAGTGCTTAATAACATAATTTCTTCATGTAGTCTGCATGCAAAGGATCATGGTCTATGTAGTTCCCTTTGTTTTTTTAGCTATTGCTGCACCAAAACTATTCATTTAAGCAAAGACTTGTAATTCGATGTTTTGTGATGGCTCATGATATTATTGTGAGACTTTGGCGATGCGATATCACGATATTTCAGTTATTGTCACATTTCTCCCTAATAAATTTGTAGCATTGATATTGTTCTCTAACTACAGCTGTAAAAAGCAAATATGATGAAGAGGAGTGGTGATTGGCAAGTGAGAGTGAGAGCAGAGAAGGCAATGTGGAACAGCGCCCCCACCTGTTCAGAGGGTCCTGGACAAAACACTGCTTCCACACCATGGAGGCCACAGCGCGGGACATCAGGTAGGAGTAGTACTTGGCCCCGTAGCCGATGAGGTGACTGAATCTCAACTGCCAGGCCTGTGGAAAGAGTCACAACACCGCTCTCAATTACTTTTTCCACATTATATTTAGATTAAGCTTTGAAAATGTTCTAAAGTGGCCATACTTTGTACTGCTGTAGCCTCAACCTTAAGTCAAGTCAGGTGTTACTGACTTATTTCGCAGATGTAGTTTAGTGCAATGGTATAGAGCTTGGGAACAAATGTCAAAAACTGTACGTCACTGGCCAGATGAGGAAAACTTGAGGAAAACAATAGAAAGTAAAGTAAAGAAAGAGCTGTGGAACAACTAGAAAAGCTGCTAGGGCCACTACTTGTAAATTTGTAAAACTTTATAACTCGATACTGTATAATGTAATATTTTTGAATGAATGTTATGGTTAGTATTTAGCATCTTAAAGGTCCTATATTATGTAAATTTGACTCCTGTGAGCTTTAAGCCATGTTATAATGTTGTTCTTTCCTTACCCTCGCTTTCATATCTAGAGTTGTGTTTGGTTTCATTCACACCCTTTATTACTAGTCTGTCTACATCTCCAAAGATGAAAATGCCCAGTTCCACCTAGTGATGCCATGAAGCTACCTTTCACCGTTAGTTCAGTAGAGACTGGCAATTCGAGGATTGAAATGATTCTATCAAGGTTCCCACTCTTTTTCACTGACAAAATTTAAAAAACTTTTCCATGACTTTTTCATGCGCTAAAGAGAATTTTCCATGACATTACAGCACCGACATGTCTAGAATTGATCATACTTTTAGGGCTAAATATGAAATGTTAATCCTTTCAACTCACCTTTTCACATTGAAAATACTGTCAGTGCATTTAATGTCGTCTCTTTAAACAAAAGGCGCATATGTTTGGAAATAATCCTAATAGCCTAATGATAATTTAACAGAACGCTATAGTTATGTGACCATGATTTTTCGAAAACTTTCACTGAATTTACAACATTTCATGACTTTTCCAAGCCTGGAAAATGGCATTTTCAATTTCTATGACTTTTCCAGGATTTCCATGACCGTGGGAACCGTGTACTAATGAGTCTAGTGAAGGTGTATGGAGATTAAAAACACAGTGGAGCACATGACATCACATTGGATGAGTTCTTTTCTCAAACTGAACACACACTGTTCCACCTTGTGATATCATGTGGTAATAATATCTACTGAACAAAAAGTAAAAGGTAGTTCACTTGAAAAATACCACCACATGACATCACAAGGTGGAACAGAGCACTTTTAGCTTTGGAGATGCAGACAGACGAATAATAAAGGGTTACTCAAACATGTGTGAATGAAACAAAACACAACTCCAGGTATGTTTTTGAGGAGGTATCAACATTCTAACATGTCTTAAAGCTCACAAGAGTCAACTTTGTGCAATATAGAGCCTTTAAGAAAAAATATGTTAATAGTGTTTAGAAATGGGGCACAGGGACAGGTATTTCTAATTTACAGGAAGGAGCAACAAATCTTAGTGCAATGGCCTTTCTAAGCACTTCTTCAACAGTAGGTATGTAAACAAATATTCCCTAAATGTATAAAAGAATATTGTAGTGTTTCTTTCATGACCGTTTGAAGCCTTTGCCTGGACTAGTTTTCCAATGAAACCACCTCACTGCTCCAGTCAGAACAGGGCTTTCATCTTCTCCCATTGTCTTTGAGGTTGCCATTATACCGACTTGGCAAATACACCTTTCCGCTGCCATGCTACAGCAGCACCACTCCGACCTGCCAGCTTTCAAAAGACAAAATACGGAAATTCCTGCACACCAGAAAGCCCCTTTTTTGTTCTTCTCTTTTCTGTGGTGGTGCCTTCAGGGGCCTTCTCTATATCTGTAAAGATGAGCTCTTTTTTTTTATGTGAGCGATTGAGAGGGGACTCCGGGGAATTTCAGCTGGCAAACACCCGAAACAGCTGCCGAAACAGCCCTTACCCCTCCTCCTCTTCCTTCTCCTCCTCCAAATAAAAGTTCAAACGGGATAATGATTAACACTTCGGTGGCAGGTCCAATGATTGTGGGCCCAGAGCATTCAAAAGCCTTAACATGTGTACAGGGGGCTGAGCTCTGACCTGTACGCTCCACTGAACGGATCTTTAATACTCGCTAACTCAGAGGATAACTTCCAAATGAGGACCAAATGTGCGTGTTTTTATAAAGAGGTAAAGACTAAGGGAAAATGTCTGCTCAGCTTCAGCCAAGTCCTACCATTGTTATATTGGACTATGAAATTATTCTGGTTAATAATTAATATGCCATTTATTTTTGTATTATTATTAATAAACACGGGCCTTTCTGTGTGGAGTTTGCATGTTTCTGCCCGTGTCTGGATGGGTTTCCTCCGGGCGCTTCGGATTCCCCCTTCGAACCAAAACATGCTCCATAGGTCTCCAGGAAGAATAGCTGATATTTAAGGTCAATTAAATACAATCAATCAATTAACCTGCCCAGGGACTAGAGGTGGGAATTAGAACTGGTGCTACAACCTGGTATAATGCATCTCTCCTGTTAAGATTACTGTAGATTGTGCACTGTCCCTGTCTCATTAAATAAATAAACTAATAAACTAATAGCAGGGATGAACAATATCAGTGCTAATAATGGTTCTGGTGATATGAGGGGTTTAGAAATCGCTTTTGATCTGATATGTTAAGTTTATAGTTTTTTTCAATTGATTTTTCCAGTCTGTGCATGCCATTCCAAGTTCAGATGTGTACGGTTTTCAGACTAAAATGGAAATAGAAAAACAATGAAGCTCAATGAAGAGGTGGCTATAATTTTACTACAACTTGACCGCAATTTATTTATTAACAAGACACGTGACTGGGCGACAGGTGCGCTGGAGGAGAGGCACTTCACTGAGGAAGGTCAGAGGGACCAAAAGTACTAATAAAACTTAACCAAGAGTGAAACTGTGTGCGGAAGTCTTTTTAAAAATGATAACAATATTACATAACATTACATTACATAATATTGATAACAACTTTGGCCACAACAGCAAGACAAAACAAGTGTTGGGTATTGTAATAAGTTAAAGATATATTCAAATGTAAAAAGGTGTAACTTTGTGTAACTTTTCTAGTGGAAGGTCTGTCAAATGCTTTTCTCCATGTAGTTGTTATTGCGTTGTCTAGAATGTTTCACAGTATGGCATTAAACCTTTCTATCTTCATGGGAGACCAAACCAGACCAAGTTACAGGTCAGATCTGTGGAGAGGCAACACCGCTCACAGTCGGAATGCTTGTTTTCTTGGTATTTCTGAGCTATAAAAACACTTGTATTTGAATGAATGTAAGGTAGATCTGTTTAATGTCATACTGCGGAACATTTCAGGCAAAGCAGTGACATATCCATAGAAACAAGCAGGTGAAGGACCCCCAACCAAAGAGTTATATAGTGCACCTTTAAAATCTATGAAAATGTTTTAAAAATGTTTGCCCTCTATTCCCGCAGTTTTGGACATAAAAATATTAATAAAAACTGCTGTCAACATCTTTTTCAGACATAATTTTACCTGACATCAACATAATAATCATAATAATTCCTATAGCTTTTATGTTTTGTTGCTAATAAAAATCAAATCTTTTCCCCAAATGTGTGTGACCTTTAACGAGGCCCTGACAGAGAGGAGAGAGAAGAACAAACACATGGTCGTAAGCGCTGGAGCCAAGAATCGCAGATTAGGGAAATGTCAACAAAAGCCAGCGGAACGTCTCACTTTGTGCCGTACATTTCCAAATATTATCCTGTCTCAAGGGCCACATGTGGTCTGGATTACACACAGCTGATGTACGCTCACATGCAGGGCTCATCTCTGCGCTCTCTAAACTATACATGTGTCAGTGCGGCCCCAGTGTTTACAATCTGAGGCTCACGTCCACCTATTAACCACTCCACTGTACCGGGTTACAGTGGAAACTTCGCCTCTACTGGATTCCTATAAAGATAAGGTCACGTAAATGGGATAAAAGTGGGATTCTTTCTAAACAAACTGCATGTAAGCCTAAGCCTAAAGGTACTGTGTAACCTTTCCGCCACCTACTTGCTTTGCTTAGAATGTTACACAGTACCTATCGTCCATTTCATGTGTTTTTATTAACAAAAAAATCATTAAAATTACAATTAATATCTTTCTGAAGGTGTCACCTGTATGATTCCATGTAAACAGAAAGGTAAAACCATATTTCTCCATGGAGATAGATAAGTTTTAACAGGCCACTTAGTGCCTCTGCTCAATTTCATTTCTCTCCAGCAACTAGGTCAGGAATCGGAATACACTAGACGGTTTGCAAGAACCCTGAAAGTGTGAGTCCGAGCACCAGCCAATCAGCAAAGAGTCATACATTCTGTGTTGACAATGATTTTTGAGATCGAAGATTTAAAGAGAATGTTTGGTGAATTTTATCAAGGGGAAAGACATTATTGCCCTTCTTCCTACAGGATTTGGGAAAAGCTACCAGTACCAGTTAGCCCCGTTAGTGGCAAGTTACATACATCACGACCAAATAGCAGTGATTGGCTAAATAAAAAACGTACCCGCGTATCGTTGAGCGAACAAATTGTAATGCTACGAGGTCAGACGGTTTCCACAAAGTGAAACCGGCTGATGAATCAGACCAGAATATTATAGCTAAAGGAACAACATTTCCACGGAGACAAGCAGGAAAAGGCCCACTTCCAGGCCTCAGGTTTGTCAGATTTGTGGAAACACAGAAAATTTTTGACCTCAGGAAAGACATTTAAAAGCATATTTGAGCACATTTCTAGATATGATTTAAATTATTTGGGAATAAAAGAAATACACAGGGCAGTATATGAGAGCGAGGAAAAAGGGGTCTGTGAATTGGATTCTCTTTCTATTAATTTATATTAGAGGGGGCCCATGTAAGGCTTCTTGCCCCGGGCCCTTCTGTCAACAGGTCTGGACATACATATATATTGATAGAAATTTTTCCCACTATGAACCCTTTTTTTACTGCTATAATCCCTACTATCATTTCTACTTTCTACATTTGAAGAGGAGGGGAGTCTCCACCTATAACGTTAAACCGCAAACCCCCGAGAAGACACAAAATTCCTATATGAAGACTTTGATGGCTTGAATATGCACAACACAGCACTTCTTTAATCTGTTTTCAAGATGCCTCCCACATAATTACAGCCTTCACTGCTCCGTGTGCGCCAATCCTGACCAAGTTATGAGTGGATTTTGGACTCCTCTCTCCCTCTGCAGCTGCAAAAGTAGGAGAATAGTCAGCTCTTTTTTGTTTTTTATTAAAGGACTGGGATATCAAAATATTCCCTCAGGCAGCGCTCATTCAACTTCAAAAAGACTTTAATCCGCTAATGGTGGTTGAAAAACATTTTTAAAAGTGATATCAAAGGAGGTGTAATTTCTGCTCACATTTTTAAGTTTGACGTAAAAGTGAAGAGCTACAAAAGGAAGGAGGTCGGCTGAGGAAAAGTACCGTATTGGGGACATAAGGCAATCCGTAAAACTTGTGCTGCATATCTCTGATGATCTCTGTGGTGGAGCGGTTCTGAGGCCCGCCGTGGTAGATCTGATCCAGGACGGCGTAGAAAATCTGAGAGAGAACAAAAATAAATCATATATTGGTGGGTTTCACAACATTCTATAGGCGAATAATGTTTAATAAAGACGGGGGCAGATAAAATTAATACTGTTAAAATGCTGATTTTCTTTGTAATATATGGACTTCTTGGGTCTAGTCAATAATAGAAATCACTAACAACATTTGTGAATTCTGGTGTAGACCCTATTTGTTAATTCAAGTCCTAGTTTAAACCTGGTTTAGTCCTAGTTGAGTTCTGGTTTAGTTCTAGGGCAGTTTATACAGTGGTCTTGGTTTAGGTCTGGGATGGTCCTAATTTAGACCTGACTTGTAGTTTAGTCCTAGTTTAATTACTTTAACATGAAATATCCAAAAAGTAAATTCACAAATGTTGAACCTGTTAGTTTCAATTTGACTAAACCAAAGATTTTACTGTATTACAACATAATTTTGCATTTTAACAATATTAATTTTAGCTGCCCCCATCTGTATTCATTAATATTTCCCTCAATAGAAGCACTGAAGAGTTAAAGGAACTGTATGTGGCCTGCGTTTTAAAACAAAAGGTACAACAATCTATTTCTGATTAGATAATCGTCTTGAGAACTAAAACACCAAATTTCATCATAAACAACTTGGCCAACAGATCCACTGTTTTGGTAATAAAGAATAAATCACATTAGAATTGTTATCAGTAAAAGCTGTATTTGATTTGAACATGTTTACATCATAACATACAGTACCATCAAGAAACTAATCAAAACCCTCTATTTTCAACCACTTTTAATGTCTAACCTGATTTTAAATCATTCCTATATTTTGTTTCATTAGCTTGTTTTGTTTATTGTTCTCTTTGTACAGAGTCTATATTATTAAATCTGGCAAAACAGTTCCTTTAAAGGAGCCATAGCCCAATTTTATTTTGTTTTCCCCAGTACAGATATATTGTAAAAGCAGCACTTACGGTCAAAATGGGGTGTTATTTATAAAGTACAGTACAATACCTTTAAATTAAAACTATGTATTTTATTATGATAACAATAAAACTGTTGTATTTTAACATACTTTTTGGCACAATTAGTTCACTTAAATAAGAAATGTTACTTGCTTTCATTTTACTTGACTTCACTTTTACTTTGTCAAACTATCAAAAATTAAAACTAACCCAAGTGGAATTTAAAGCTGCATTGTGTAACTTTTCTGGTGGAGGGTCTGTCATATATTTTCCTCGATGGCGATATTTTTGCTTCGTCTTGAATGTTTCAAAGTGTGGTATTAAACCTTTCTACCTTCATGGAAACCAAACCAGACCAAGTTACAGGTCAGATCTGTGGCGAGGCGACTCCGCTCACAGTCAGAATGCCTGTTTTATTGGTATTTTTCAGCTATAAAACCACCTGTAATTGAATAAATGTAAGGTAGATGTGTTTAATGTCATACTGTGGAACATTTTAAGCAGAGCAATGACATCTCCATAGAAACAAGCATGTGATGCGCTCCCTACCGAAAAGTTACATCATTAAAAAACTGTAAATTTCAGGAAATGGCGAACTTTGTGGTGTTACATTTATTTTATTGCATTATGGATTATTGCATCCGCCAGTATCGGGATATTTCTGTGATACATTGTGCAGCCCTTCATGATGTTTTAATGTAATAATGTTTAACTGTTGTACCTGTAGCTGGGTGTCTGCCGCTCCACACACTTTCTTGGACTCACACAGTCGGGCCACCATGCTCTCAGGCAGCGGCTAAAGACACATAGACAGATAAACAGAGAGATAGACAGACATGGATACACTGTCTGTTAGTGGGGACACATATGTGCTGCACTGAGGATTTATAAACACAGACTTAGAGCACCTGTCCAGTCTCATAGTGACGCGCAAACTGGCTGATGACTCTGTAGTCTGTGGCGAAATACTCCATTAGGATAGAGGGTACTTCTGCGAAATCCGTTGCACATCTAGTTCCTGCAAAACAAAGGTTAGATATAAGATGTTTTGGCATTTGAAGTTCAAATGTGATAAAAGGGTATAAACTCTCAGATGGCCACATAAGGCTTTTCTGCAGACCTTCTTTAAAGAGGAGGTACTGCCCAAAATCTACTTTTTGTTAAGTTATGGTTACCAGTATGCTTCTGTCCAAGACTCAGCCAACAAACCTACGGCACAAATGTTCCTGCACGGCCATTTTTAAAATAAATATACAAAAGCATTTTTAAAATAAATGTACAAAAGCAGGATACAAAACAATACACTACAGCTTCACAAACAGGATGTTTGATGATGTGCAGTAGTTTCATTAGCAGAATGCACACTGTTTGTGTTGTGATAGAGCTCTGAAGGGGGAGTTACTAAGCACAGGGAGTAATACTGAAACAAATTAAACATGGCATGAAGGAGAGGAGGCCATTATAATAACAACCTTCAACCACAATCATCTTAACAAAAGTAAACCATATTAAATGTGTATTTTTTCAAATATTAAATCTAGTAATGAACTACAAAGATAATTATTTTAGATTTTGTAAAAAAAAAACTAAAATACTGATGTCTTGATAACAGAAACAGTTCATTGACTTCCTGTTCAAAACTGACGAAATCTACTTGTCTTGAAGAACCACAAGTAAGAACAATGAGCAGATAGAAATTTCTTAAATGCAGAACAATAAAGGAATATGGGTAAATATCTCAAAATTCAATATGGGTTCAATCATTCGCAAGAGAAACATGTATACAAAGTAGATTTTGCATACAATGTGTCGTGTTATTATAATGTAACAATAATAATAAAGTGGAGCCCTGACACAACCTGACCCGAGTCAAACAGTATCCAGTGACAAGTCAGACGGGAACAGCTAATCCAGGTCCTGCCTCAGGGCTCACACGTCAACGGCCCCACGCTTTATTGTAACCACCTCAGTGTCAGAATGCTGCTGCTGACAATATTAAATGACACACTAATCATTTTACAACTCAAACCAGCCAGCGCCCAAGTTGCTTCAGAACTTACACAATAGAGCCGCAGATATCGGGAATTGACAGATACTTCAAGACCAAGTGCTGACATCGGTATTGAAACAGAAAAAGCTGGATCATCTTTTATAGTTCTGAAAATGCTATATTCCCCCAAAAAAAAGCATTAAAAAAAGGATTAGCTCCCCCCACGCCCGTCCTTCAGAGCTCTTTCTCAACACAATAATCGTGCATCCCGCGAATGAGTAGCTCAGCACATCGCATCAATCAGTTTGTGAAGTTGCATGGTATTGTTTTGTATCATGATTTAGTATATTTATGGAAAACTGACAGACAGAAGCATGGGTGATGTAGGGTTGTGGGCTGAACAGTGGACAGAACTGTACCGCTAACAACAAGGAGGGTTTTAATAGTGCCCTGGAGAGATCACTAGATTACTAAAACATGAATGGATGGACATATAAATCCTCTTCAAGCATGTTTTCGATGAGGAAACAACGTTATAACCATATAAAGAAGTGGACTAAGGGAGTGTGGCGTCACCAATAGCTTTCAGCTCTGGCTGAATGAAGCTCACTAAGGCGAGTGATTATAGGGGCAAATTTGGAGCCAATTCCATATTAGGAATAGAAACTGATTTAAGGGCAAAATAGTGAAATAAAAAGGAACATGCAGAACGGGTTAATACGAACTTTTATTACCGTATTTTTCAGACTATAAGTTGCACTTTTTTTCATGGTTTGGGTGGTCCTGCAACTTGTACTCCGGTGTGACTTATATATTAAAATTTTCTTGAGGATAGCCTCAAGAGGACACTATAGGCTTGTGTGTCAGTATACCTGCTACTCCTATTATTCCTGTACCACTGTCACTTGGCTCTACTGCGCATGTCTCTTGCAAAAAGAGTCGCTCTCCTGTCTGTATCATGTCAGCCGATCGCACCATTACTTCTGTACCACTGAAGATGAAATGTCAATTCCTGGTCTCTGATTTTATATACATTTATGTTAATATATAAATATAAATATAATAAATTTCCCCAAAAACTGTGAATCAAAGTCGGGAGCAACTTATATATGTTTTGTTCTTCTTCATTATGCTTTTTTTTGGCTGGTGCGACTTATAGTCTGAAAAATGCGGTATATTTTTAGACCAAGATGAGCACCCTGACAAAAGTAGTTGCAGAGAGAGGGACGATGTTTTCTCAATACAAAGTGCATTGGAGTCATTGGAGCAGGAACCACACCCATGTTCAATTCTGATGAAGCGGCTAGCTGGTTAGTTATGTCCATTTATATACACATTCTATGGTTATAACATGCTAGAAAGCTCTAAAAAGTAAATTTTTCGTAATACCAGCTCTTAAATAATTTAAAAAAATCCTCTGCAGATGTACTCACCTGTCACATGCTGGTAGCGGGTTCGTCCCAGCATGGAGTGCATGGCGTGGCCCATCTCATGGAAGAGGTTCTCCATCATACCCGGGGTGAGGAGGGTGGGGGCAGAGCGGGAGGGGGCGGGCAGGCTGAGCATCAGGACCACCACAGGGAGCTGGTACTGCCCTGAGTCCTGGCACCAGCGCCCCCCGCGGATGGTGAAGTGACAGTCCTGAGAGAAAAGGAAGCAGAAAGGAGAGACATTATAAAATGTTCACTCAGAAAACTCCCAGAGAACCTAAAGTGAAAGTGCTCCTCTTTGCGTTTATCACTCCCTGAAGTTTGAATTAAACAGTATCTTCAAACGGAGTCCAACTCTCCAAACTAAACTCTGATAGTGTTTATCTGATGCTCTGAGTGTAGTTTACTGAGCCAGGCCTGTACATGTAGTCTGACACGTGGACATCATCTCCTGTGAAGCACTGGGCGAAAGATGGGGCACTCAGATGTACTGTTCCATGATAAGATGATAGTACTTCTGATGGTGGAGCCTTCATGACTGCGAGCCAAGTACATACAACAATAACTAAACTTCAGATGACACCACAACATGCTACAGGCCAATAATACTTAATATAGATGGGGGCAGCTTAGTTTATATTGTTAAAATCAGTGGTGGAACGTAAAAGTAGTGAAGTGAAATTAGGTATCTGTTCTTTTCTCTGTTCTTTTACTTTTGAAAGTGGATACTTTTTACATTACTTCACTAGATTTGAGAGCAGGTATCTGTATTTTCTACTCTACTGTATTTTTGAACAGGGCTGCAAAGTTAAAGTATTTTTTTATTATTGTTTAAGAGCTGCTGAGAGTTTATCTTTAACACAATACACAAATAAAACAACTAGAAAAACAAGACTGATTCTACTGTTTCTATTGAACTAACGTCAAATACAAATCTTTATCAACGTCTCTACATTTGAAGTGTTATTAGATCTCAAAATCTGTGTGAAATACTTTTACATTTTAGTCTTTATGTCTAAGTATTTTTAGTCAATATGAGTGTTCATGGTCGAGCTTAGGTGTTTAATTTTCAACAAAAATGGTGAGCTGGCTAATGCGACTGTAATTTTGTGTGAGAGACTTGTTTAAAAGAAAAATCAACTTGTCTGTTGATGTTCCAGCTAAATCAGTTCTTTCTTGTCAGATTGTGTTAAACCAAAGCTCAGATTAAAGTCTAATAAAGCCTCAGACAGAGCAGAAATCCGTATATCAATCGTTCATTTGTTTTTCAGTATAAAACCAAAAATAAGAAAACAAAAAACAACTATTTTCTTCATTATTTGTCTCCAAAACCAAAATGAAAAAATGGATAATGATTCGTCTTTTCAGTTTTCGATTTTGTGTTTAAATGAAGAATGGAAAAAACGGATAACGACCGTTTCCCGTTTCTGTGACTTTCGTGACTGCGATGCCGGACTTCTGCGCTGCAGACGGACTGAACCAAAACTGAATCAGGACTAAAACAGGACTAAACCAGCACTAAACCGTTTTCAGTCCTGGTCTGGTCCTGGTCTGTTCCCGGTCTCAGTCCCGGTCTAAGTCCTGGTCTCAGTCCCAGTCTGGTCCCGGACCTGGATTAGTCCTGGTTTAGTCCTGATTCAGTTGCAAAAGTCCAGCATCGCAGTTACGGAAGTCACGGAAACAGGAAACGGCCATTATCCGTTTTTTCATTTTGGTTTTGGAGACAATTAATGAAGAAACGGTTGTTTTTTTGTTTTCTTATTTCTGGTTTTATACTGAAAAACTAATGAACGATTGATACACGGATTAGCAGAGCCTACAGTTATCAAAGTATCAATAGTAAAGTTGTAGTACCTGAAAACCACCAAAAACTGCCATATTTTTACTGAGAAATGTATTTGCCTGTCAGGAATTAATACACTGACTTATTGTTCAATGTACGATAGATGGAACAATCATTTTTAGTGGTCAGAATTTATCGTGTGCATTTTTTTCTTTTCAGTAATGGGGAACTTTTTATTATTTTTTAAAGCAGTGATAAGATTTAAGCTGTAGAGCAAGTGTTTATTTTGCTATTTAATTGTAATTACAGTTTGTATTTTCATAATACTGTACATTTACTTTTTTTGGGGATAATTTTGCCACATATCACTCTTCAAAATTGTGTTATTGTGACAGTCCTGCTCAGAAATTGCTCAAAAAAGTCTATAAAAAACAGATGGAAAATATAAAGCCATGTTTCTGAAATGTATTGGTTACTTTTACAGTGTGTTTACTTTAGTGTGAAATTTGAACCTCAACAATGGCATTTAACTGGCTTGTTATTGCAGATATCTGATGGATTACCGTATTATTATCTGAATATTGTCAACAAGACCATTAACGAAAAGTAAATGTTTTTGAATCTGTCTGCAACAAATAAATCTCAGGCATGGCGGCGTTCCCTTGTAAACAGTTTTCCTCAGAAGTTGTTGCGACACCTCAAACACAGAACTTATAACACTGTTAAACTGTGAAGAAACAGACAGTGATAGAGGCAGGGGTGTGCAATTAATCACATTTAAAGCCACAGTATGTAACTTTTTAGCTTTTTAACTTTGTAGCCCAAATGAAATGCATGTTTTTTTTTCATTTTGGCTGTTTTTATTGCACTGAAAAACATGTGTTCTTGCTTGTGGGATTGCATCTCCAGACACCTGACTTTTATTTGGTCCGGAGGAGGGCTTCTTCCTAGCCTTATTCATCAGCCGGTTTCACTTTGTGGAAACCGTCTGACCTCGCAGCATTAGGATTTGTTTGCTCAAGGGTAGGCGGGTACTTTTTTAATTTAACCAATCGCTGCTATTTGGTCGTGATGTATGTAATTTGCCGCTAATGGGGCTAACAGGTATATTAAGCTTTACCCAAATCCCATAGAAAGAAGGGCAATAATGTCTTTCCCCTTGATAAAATTCACCAAACATTCTCTTTATTTCAGCTTTAAATCGTCGATCTCGGGAATTGTTGCCAACACAGAATGCAGGGCTTCGTCTAGATCCATCTCGACCGCTTTGTTTACTGTTGTGCTGTACCACAAAAAGGGACCCAGTCATGGCTTCTTCGCTGATTGGCTGGTGCCCGGTCTACAACTTCTGGGGTTCTTGCAAACCGTCTAGTGTATTGCGATTCCTGAAACTGAAATTGAGCGGAGGCACTAGGTGGCACCAGCCTGGCCAGCTTCTTCCTGTTTCCATTGAAATGTTGTTCCTTAGTTTATAATCTTCCACAATATGGATTAAAATGTATCTATCTAATGAAGAATGTTCTATAGTGTGGATTTAACTTTCTATGCCATCTCTGGAAAGTTACATATTGTAACTTTAAGAGATTGAGATTCAGTCATTTCTGATGGAGATAAACCAGTATGCTTTTTTTTTTTATGGCTGATGCAAATACAGATTGTTTGGAATCCAGAGAAACCAATGGCCAATAAAGCTCTGACAATATTTTATTATTAGTAGTATTATCTAACTTGAACTCATCCACAAGCTTGTTTTAAAACAAACTGTAAAATAAAGCTGTATAGTCACATTTGTGCAGTGGCCTCTTCACACAAAAGTGCTTCAACTCTGTCAGTGAGATTGGGTCTTTCTATAGTCATTCCTATGCCAGGAAAAGTATATGATTGGATTTCAGAATTTGAAAGAAGAACTTTGACATTGTTTCATGTTTTTAAATGGAAATTATTAAATGCCATTAATATAGAAAGTAATTTTATTAGTTTTTAATCCATCCATCCATCCATCCATTTTCGTCCGCTTATCCTTGAACCGTCACCTTATCGTGGTGGAGGGGTTTGAGTGCCCGAATGATCCCGGGAGCTATGTTGTCGGGGGCTTCATGCCCCTGGTAGGGTCACCCAAGGCAAACAGGTCCGGGGGGACGGGTCAGACGAAGAACGGTTCAGAAGCCCCTATGATGAGTGTACGAGCAAGGCCAGTTACGTCGCCCGGATTGGCGTCACCGGGGCCTCACCCTGGAGCCAGGCCTGGGGTGGGTGCTCGCCGGCGAGCGCCTGGTGGCCGAGCCTCCCCCCACGGGGCTCGGCCGGGCTCAGCCCGAAGGAGCGACGTGGGGCCGTCCTCACGTGGGCCCACCACCCGCAGGAGGATCCATATGGGGCCGGTGCAGAGAGATCTGGGCAGCAGTCGACGGCGGGGGCCTCGGCGACCGGATCTCCGGACATGGAGACTAGCTCTGGGGACATGGAATGTCACCTCGCTGGGGGGTAAGGAGCCTGAGCTTGTGCGGGAGGTTGAGCGTTACCGACTAGATATAGTCGGCCTCACCTCCACGCACAGTTTGGGCTCTGGAACCCAACTCCTAGTTTTTAATCATTAATAATAATTGTTTAAAAAGAGGAAGACGAGTGCTTTAGTGGGTCAAAGTTCAGGTCAGGCGCTCATCAGGATCAGAGTGGAAAAACTTCACTTAACACATTAAAAAGAGGAGAGAGTGGGAGGGATGAAATTGGGGATACATGTTGGAGTACACACTATTTTGGTCAAGCTCTCTGTTGATTTGCTATTATTTTATTTTTATTTCTGTCAGATGTATCCATGTATCCGCTCTACCCCATGTATGAAAAGAAAGGAAAAGAAAAAAGTGTTAATAAAAAATGTATCACACAAAAGAAAGACACAGATGGCCGAAACGCGTAGGCTACTGTCGTTTTTTTTTTTTTATATATCAAAGGACTTTTAATGCCATCGGTATGCCTTAGATTTCTTCTTTGTAATAATTGTTTGTTTGTTTGTGGTTGACATTTCTTGGCATTTCGCCCAGCCCTAGTTAGCAGTTAACATCGGTTAGTGATTTTCCTTTGAAACTGTTCCAGATAGACCTGACCCAACACTGAACCTGAAGAACAAGGCATGATACACCTCAGTTACTACATGCTCTTGCTTAATTCAAATTATAATTAATCAAACGGCTACATAACTGATGAGGGCTGGTGTAGGGAGAGATCCAGGACTACATTCATGCCATACTACAAACAACTGTACAACAACTCACCCTTATGTACCAGATAATACTCCTTACAACCATACAGCAGCTCACACTTGTAATCAATAGATGTAATAGATAATACAATGACCTGCCTGTCATCATAACTTCTTTGCACTTGTTTTCCTTACAACCTCTGGATATAGCCGAGATATTTTTTATTACCGTAATTTCTGGACTATTGAGTGCACCTAAATATAAGCAGCACCAATAAATTTTTGAAAGAAAAAAAAAGGTGTACATATATAGGCCGCACTTGTCTATAAGGCATATTTGTTCACAATTTTTTCTTAAATACAATCTGAACAATGCCTGAAACACGGCAGTAAAATGAAAGGATTAGGACAGGATTATCAGACTACGTCACTTTCTACTGCGCATGTCTCCTGCAAAAAGAACCGCTGTCCTGTCTTGTATCATGTCAGTGTCTCGTAGGATTTCAGGCTCTCCCAGAGGCGAGGCTAGCTGTATCGATCAGGTATGAGTGGATGTCCGGTTACTGAAGTTTGAGACGTTTTTTCTCATCATTTACACACTCATTAGCATTTGCGCGTACGGGTCATGACGACGTATCCCAATCACTATTTATTTTATTTATTTATTTATTTATTTATTTCGGTCACAGGTATGGTACAGGTACTAATGTTAATTCAGCATCATAACTTATTTTGTCACACGGCGATAAACTGTTTTAGTGCTGGTAACAGAGCTAGCTATTGTTGCAACTTCATGTTAAACACACAGACAGAGGCACTTTCTGCACTCGCCCTTGAGCTGCATGGTTCAAAGTGTGAGGAAAAAAGTAGTGGCTTATAGTCCAGAAATTATTATTTTTTATTTAATTTTTACTTGTCCATACCATAGACTGTATAAAAGAAATTGATGAAGCGAGTGTGACGTCACCCACAGCGTTCAGCGCCGCTGAAATGGGGCTCACGATGCTCACGGTTACAGGAGCGAATCTGGAGCCAGGCCCTGTATTATGAATAGGATTTTTTTGATGGACAAAATGGCGAAAAAGTATCATGTAGAGAGGGTTGATACGAACATTTTAAGACCAAAATGACGAGGCTTACTACTGCCACAAGCAGTTAATCGGAAGATGATCTATGTAGTATGTATGCAGTTTCTTACACTTATTTAGTATTCTTATACTCTTTGTAAGTCATGTAATCTAAGTCTAGGTCAGAGTCCATTAGTCAGCTTTCAGCAACACGGTGTACCACAGTAGCGCAGAGTTTACGATGAAAGAAGTCACACACACACAGCACACACAGCACATAATAGACAAAAGCAGTAACACAATACGCACAATGTGAAACTCCTATTCTTTGTCCTGTAATTCACCAGGGGTCACAAACATGGATTTGAACTGAGACACAAGGTTTATTTTACACAGTTATGGCTAGGGATGAGAATACAGGTATTATTTAGCACAACGGGCATGAAAACTGAAATCTATTTATTTTAGTGTGTGGTAAATTAGTATACTTAAAGTGCACATGACAGATTTTTATGATTCTCTAATTTTGACTTAATTTGGTGGGAAATTACTCTTTAGTTTTACACAAATCAAGCAGCAATTTGCAAAGGAAAGTAAAAAAAATATGTCAAAAATTACAGGAAGTTGAAATTGATGATCACACTCGGGAGAATTTTATCTAAAAGTTTAAACAGTTTACATGAAAGACACTGTTTTTTCTGATACTTCAATCATGACTTCAAGTGTTTTCTAATATTTGTATTTGTCAGATAATAATTTCTATGTACAATACAGGAGTTTTTTTTTTAGGTAACAGTGATGGGCTTCCCTAGTGTGAGGTCACAATTTCCAACCAGGAAATAAAATTATGAACCTGAAAGTAAAATTTTAAATCTGAAAAATGGCTAAATTCGAAAACAAGCGTGAATGAGTTTTTGCAAAAATCTTAAATATAATGATTTGAACTGTTTTTCATTTTTAAACAGGTACTTAATACTTTTACTTAAGTGGATTTTTTCATATGATACTTTTACTTTTACTTGAATAACATTTTACCTTTATATCTGTACTTTCACAAAAGTGTGCTTCATCCACCTGAAGTACAATTTTGATCCTAACCTCCATGCTTATGACACTTATTTATTCATTTTTTTATTTAGTTTTCATCGTCCCACTCATTTTAGGGCATTTTTTTGTTGTTCTTGTTTGCCCAAAATAAATACATAAATAAAATAACAGCAAAAAAAGTAACACTTTCTACTACTACAGTATTTAACAAGCTAAATACGTACCAGTTTCGTACATCCTCGCTCCACACCTCTCCAGCTCTGGGGTGCTCTGACATCAGGGAGACTCCGTACAGCTGAGAGAAGAGGCTGTTCAGACCCTCCATACACGCTCCCAAAGACAGGTAAGGACTGTACAGGCTGGGCTCTATGTTGTATCTGAAACAGCAAAAACACATGGAATCTAATTGGTCAACATCAGTGGTGAATGAAATACACAATTATGTTACTTAAAGGTCCATTGTGTAACTTTCTGGTGGAGGGTCCATCATCGGCAAGTTTCTATGGAGATTTTATTGCTTTGTCTGGAATGTTTCACAGTATAATTAAACAGTTACATTTATTCAATTACAGGTGGTTTTATAGCTCAAAATATCTAGAAAAACAGGTATTCTGACTGAGTGGGGTCACCTTTCCACAGATCTGACCTGTAACTTGGTCTGGTTCAGTCTCCATGAAGATAGAAACGTTTAATACCACACTGTGGTAGTTGCCGATACAATACATACCTCGATACCGTGAGTTTTCGATTTGATACAGTTCAATACGATATATTTCAAATCGATTCAATATGGTTCAATAAAAAATGAACGCTAAATCATGGCTGTGATACTAAAAGTCTTTGTTAAACCACTTCTTGTGCAAAGTTCATATGAGACACAACCATTTTAATCCTCAAAACAGTGAAAATGTCAAATGTATCGCATAAACAAGTTTCCTTCCTCTAAACAAAACTATAGCGCTGTAACAAAACAATTTAGTAAAATATAGGAAAAAAATACTCTTGGTGATATATCGATACAGCAGCCCACAATATCGATACTGTATCATCACATTAAACAATGCGATATAGCGATATTTTGATATTTTTGCACACCCCTATTCCAGACAAAGCAAAAACATCTCAGTGAATAAAAGCGTTTGACAAACTCTCTACCAAAAAAGTTGCACTATGCACCTTTAAATAAAAGTACAGATACAGGGCCAAAAGGTTACTCAAGTTAAAATATCACATGAAAAAAATCTACTTACATAAAACATACTGACATATTGAGGTACCTGTATAAAATGGTACCTTAAGAGTAAAAAGTAAAAGTATTTTGCATAGTTTCATTTCCTAGCTGTTTTTATGTGTCTACTTTTGTATACTATATTATGGACATGTTTAAAATAAACACTCAGCCTTTACAGTAGGTCTTAAACAATAATAAAAAATACTTTTACTTTTCAGTCCTGTTCTAAAATGTAGTGGAGTAGAAAGTACAGGTACCTGCCCTCAGATGTAGTGAAGTAAAAGTAAAATGCATCCCCTTTAAAATCTACTTAAGAAAAGTACAGATACCTTTTTTTTTTTACTTAAGCGAGTACTTTACTACTTTTACTGTGTTACTGTGAGGGACAACTGAGTAAAGAACAGGCCCACAATAACAACCCCCCCTGTGGTGCAATATGGAATTACACACGTCAGCAAAGATACAGATCAGCCTGACTTTATCAAATAACAACCTGCAAGTGAGAGGGGAAACAAAGTGTTACCTCTCTGCACGAAGGACGCCGCTCAGGTACGGATGGTCCCAGGGCATCAGCTCCTAAAGTCAGAAGAGAACAAATGCCAGTAGAGTTGAATGATGCCTGAAAAATATCTCTCCATCTCTACTTTTCTGATAAGCATTGTGATTATATTTAATACAAGAATTACCTTTCAGACCATTTTTACAGATCTAAACTGCAGGCAGTTTGAAGTTTTTAAGCAAAATAAGACTAGAATATTTTGTTATTGGTAGAGGAAATTTCGGAACTGCAATTTGCTACAGCCATTTGAACAGCCATTCAAATTGTAATTCAGTAGTGATTTTACAGCCCTAAATGCTAGTAATAAAATCTTCTTAAAATAGTGTTCATTTATTAGAATAGACAGTACTGAAAAATTGTAGATAGACAGTGGCTGCAAAAAACAAAATGAGAAAAAGATATTCTGTTATGTTTTCTATCACAGTAACAAAATTAGTGAGATATTTTCATACACTCTGAAGTTAAATTGAAACAAAAAATGTATGCCTTTATTTACTAGACAAACTGCGTCAATCTAACAAAGACTAAACCAAGACTATACAAGGCCTATTGCACCTACTAAAGGAAAATCATGAATAAAATTAGCTTTTTAATTTTTTTTTTTACTTTCAAAAAACTGTAAATGTCTGTAAAATGGGGAAATTTGTTAACACTGCGCAGCTAGATGGATTCTCATGATGTTCGTGAGTTCACAAACTCATGAGAATCCATATTGAGGTGCTCCTGCTGTATGGTTTACACAGAACTTCTATGGAAGGGGGAGGGGTTTCAGGCAACATGGCGACAACTCTGAGCGCAGAGCTACACTATAGACTGAGTGCAACAAACATGGCGGCGCTGGTGGACTGTGATCGTGCTTATAATGCCTTTAATGGGCAAGTTTGAGTTGCAACACCGGCTACATTAATTTATGGACATCTTCCCTCTCCAGCGTGACATTTGTTCTGGTTTTACATGTCGCAAGTTGAATACGTCATTTTGTCCGGTTTGTCGTGATTGGCTTAAAAGAACCTGGTGGGTGGGCACTTTGGTGTGGGGCGCTCAATCAGCTCAAGGCATTCTGCTGCAAGTCCCTCCTTTTCCTAAACGCTTTCAGTGAAAACCGTTCCAGATGGATAATATGTAGAACTCAGAGTAATACACCAGATTAGAACTTTATGTTGAGATATATTTATTTTTTTGCAATTACGGTGAAGCTCTAGGTAATATGGAGATAAATTGAAACATGATCAAACCCCTGTCCCTCTACTTCTTTTATTAGTCATCCCTTGTTATGCTCTTAGTGCAAGTCCTCATTGTGTCCTTGGGCAAGACACATCACCTGCCTCGTCTCCATTGTCTATGAATATGTGTGTGATTGTGAATGGGCAAAAAACTGTCCAAGGGGAACTAAAATAAATGTAACCAAATCATTGCATGAAAGCAGAGTCACTGTTGTATTCACCCATTGAAATAGGAATAAATACTATTGTAATCTAGTCTAATCTAATCCAAATCATTAATGGATTCCACAGAAGCACTTACAGCATTGCGAGGGTTGAGTTTTTTCTTCATATCCCTCATCATTTTGAAGTCTTTTGCCGTTCTGTGAAATAACAAAAAGCACAAAAAAACCATAAGTTATACTGAGTGACTGAAGGCGTTTATTCCCGTCAGGGTCATCAGGGGCTACAGCCTATCCCAGCATGCATTTGGCTGAGGGCGGGGGAAACACCCTGGACAGGTTGCCAGGTGAGCAGGCTTACGCTCATACCTGTAGGGAGTTCAGAGGCTCCTTTTCACCTCTCTGCTATTGTTTGCAGAGGGGGGTAGTACTCAGTGAGATAGTAGGTTTTGGACACCATATCATACTTAGTTTGAAATACTCTTGAGTACTCTTTCTTAAGTAAAATTTTTGGTTACTCTTATTTACTTTTAAGTTGTGTTAAGGGTGCACCTTTTGGTTGGGGGTCCGTCACCTTTTTGTTTCTATGGATATGTCACTGCTCTGCCTGGAATGTTCCACAGTATGACATTAAACAGCTCTACCTTACATTTACTCAATTACAGGTGGTTTTATAACTCAAAAATATAAAAAAACTAAACAAAAAAAAAAAAAAAAACAGGCATTCTGATTGTGAGTGGGGTTGCTTCTCCACAGATCTGACTTGTAACTTGGTCTGGTTTGCTCACCATGTTGATAGAAAGGTTTAATACTATATTGTGAAACATTCCTGACAAAGCAATAAAATGTCTGTGGAAAAAAGCACACCAGAAAAGTTAAACAATGCACCTTTAAAGTTATATTACTCAAGCAAAAATTTTTGCCACCCTGCCCACTGCTTATAGTTTGAGACATAAGGACTAAAACGAAAAATAATGGGAAGTACAGTGAATGTGAGGAATGAGACAATGTGGTGGCATTGTAAGGCCCTCTAAATACAACTGGGAAGAGATTTCAGTTTATATACAAGGTTAATGGTAAATGTGTGAATTTATCAATCAATGTATTATGTACATTATAGGTCCAATATTACACAAATCTGACTCTTTAAGATGAGGTTTAAACCACATTAGATGTTGTTTCCTCATCACAAATGTACCCGGAGCTGTGTTTTGTTTCATGTACATGTTTGAATAATCCTTAGGGATGTAACATATTGATATCCAAATCTCACGATACAATATTTTCACAATATACATCCCAAATCCAAAGACCCAAGATTTAAAAGTGCTTAGAACTGCTATTTCTTTATGTAGTTTGCACCAAAACAGAGAAAGGATCATGGTCGATGTAGTTCAATCTGTTTTTTTAGCTATTGCTGCACCATAACAATGGATTTAAGCAAAGAAACTTGTGATTCGATATATTGTGATGATGGCCCGTGATATTACTGAGAGACTTTTAACTATACAATATTACAATATTTTGGTTATTGTTACACCCCTAATAATCCTGCATTATTAGACTGGCTACATCTCCAACTCTCAAAATGCTGTGTTCCACCTTGTAATGTCAGGAATGGTAGTTTTCCCTAACAGCTTAATAGCTATCTTTTACCTTTTGTTTAGTAGAGACTGGAATTTCCAGAGCTAAATTAACTAAATTATTCACAAGGTGCAACAGACTGTTTGCGGTTTAAGAGAAGAACTCTGCCTAAATCTGCAGGGTCTGTGTGTTAAACATGTGTGAATGAAACAAAACACAACTTAAGGTCTGTTTTTGATGAGGAAACAGCATTATAACATAGAACAATGATAGTAGTATGGGCCCTTTAAAAGAAGCCAGCAGAGTCAATTTGTGTATTACTGTAACTATATACTGAACTGTAATGGACATACAATAGACAGCAAAAGTCGAATACTGAAGGTTATTGTGGCTATTATGGATTCTTTATGGACAAGAAGCACTCATGTTTTCAGCTAATCTCACTCCCCCCACCAAGACCGTTTGTATCTGTACTAGTTTGTAATGACCTTTTATTCATGGAAAGCAGCATGTACTACACTATGCAACATTCAGGAGGACACGTCATTTATTTCACCTTTTAGTGGCCACTGTAAAAAATGGAGCAGCTGTTGTTATTAACACATGGAGCTAGGAGACAGATGCTTCGTAGTAAAGATAATATAGCAAACTCAGTCATGGCATATGGGTTTGAGAAATGCACACGGGCATTTTCAGGTTAGGAGCACATAGGTAGAATCTGTGTATTCTTGACTTGAAAACTACTTAAAATGTGTTTTTCAACTTCAAATTTCAAATAATTTAAATATTAAGTTTAAAATAAGAACTCACCTGTCAGCCAGCTTGTCTGTTAGGAGCTGAAGGAAACTCATGACTGTCTCTGAAAAACACCACACACAGGAGTAGACTTTAGTAAAGACTGTATAAAGTACTATGCTTCTTAGTAAAAATATGCACTCACCAGGTGTTTTGGCCATAGTCCCCTTCAGGGCCCTGTGTCCATACGACTCATAGCCCACAAGTTTGGCCAGTTTGTGTCTGCACCTCAGCAGCTCCTCCAGACACTCCATTAGATCTGCGTTTGGATACAGGTAGATGCGGTACGCTATCTCACGAACCTACCAAAGAAACACAAATAAGACATAATAGATTTAGTTGGTAGAGCAGGTTTCAACAAGAAAAATGTGTATTTATGAAAGTACTTTCATATTAATGCATCTTTTAGCGTAAAGTGTCTTAAAATTGCCTTTAAGCAGCCCTCTTGAAAAATACTTGTACTTTAATATGGGTGTTAATGCCAAAAAAGTAGTCATACTGATCATTTTTAAACCTGCTTTTAGACTATAAGTGAGGGGGTATCTTCTATTCTACACATAAAGGAGAAGTAGAATCAATAGCATATGCAGTTTTGAGTGATTTTGGAAAATTATTTTCAGTGATAACTAGGGGTGTAATGATATCGTCATGGTATGAACCTCATGGTACGATATTTATTGCAACATTTTGTGGGGGCTAACAAAACTGTTAATATGCTACTTTTTACTCTTAAAATGCCTTGACAAAACTTAATCCAAAGAATTAAAAAATAAAAGTGCTTAGGAAATGTTATTTCTTCTTGTAGTCTATGCTGAAATGGAGCAAAGGATCATGGTCTATGTAGTTCCCTCTGTTTTTTTCTTAATTTACACAAAGAGACTTGTAATTCAATATATTGTGAGGGTCCAAGATATTATTGTGAGAACTTTGATGATACAATATCACGGTATTTCGGTTATTGTTACATCCCTAATGATAACTGAAATACATTTTCTACAAATATTCTGACTTCTACCAACGTTGACAGAACTTTTACTTGAGAACACATTGTAGTTATTGGTAGGGATTTTCAATTACTGTCAAAACCCAATAATTCACTATATTACTACATATTTTGGCATTTTAACAATATTAAAATCTGCATTCATTAATATTGGCCTCTAGCATGCTCTGATGTTATCTGAAACGAAGCAATAATGTCTAAAGTGATGAGCAGTTAGAGAGCCCTATATTTTTTTGATAACAGCGCACCCTGCTGGCCTATCAAAGAAATTACTGTGAAGACAAAAGTCCCTACATCCTACCAAGTCATCGGGCGAATCTGCATGTAATCCTCCAACCTGGATGAAGCTTCCCTCATTTGCAAAATGGATGTGGAGATGTTCAGGGATGGCAGTTCTGGCAATTCGGTTTGGCATGTGTGAACCAACCAGGAACTCATTATTCAGGTCCAAGAGCTTCACATGGAGAGCAACTGCCTGTTTCCTCTGCAGAAGTCATACAACACAAGTTCTGTTAGATATAGTAAGTGCTTATAGAATATAGAACAATTAAAAGTACTTATGTTTTACTGTGGCTTTTAACATTATTTTAAACACTAGCGCAAGTTAAAGATGCAAATTTTCTGTTGGAGGGTCCGTCACCTGCTTGTTTCTATGGATATGTCATTGCTCTGCTCAGAATATTTCACAGTATGAGATTAAACAGCTCTGCCTCACATTTATTACAGTTTTATAGCTAAAAATTACCCAGAAAAACATGCATTCTGGTACTGTGAGCGGGGTCGCCTCTCCACAGCTCTGACCTCCAATTTTGTCTGGTTGAGTCTCCATGAAAATAAAAATGCTAAATACCATACTATGAAACATTTCAGACAAAGCAATAACATCCTCATGGAGAAAAGCATTTGACAGTTTCAAATACACACCAGTTTGTCGTCCAGATGAATTCCACTAATCTCAAAGTCAAACATGAACAATTCAGCCACACGCCTACAAACACAAGAAGGAGATAAAGCAGTGAAAAAAATGTTTCTTAGTCTGACGTTAAGACACAAAATTGAGCTTAGGACAGTCAAAAGGAAGAGGAAGAGAGACATCTTTATCAAATTAAAATACAATAACACACAAATCTTTAGAGGATAGTAAAGAGATGCAAGTGTAAGTGAAGCATACCTTGTGTCAGGGTCCAGTTTAGCTACAACTTCAGGATTGTCCAGCAACCTCTTTAAACTCTGACATAACTCAACATTAGTGTTTAACCTGGAAAGAAGCATATATGTTAACTGCAGATACAAAAAATACATGTTTTATTTGTTTTATTTGCCTACTTATTCCATGTTACAAACATATTGTCCCTAATTTATCTATGTAATTTGCAAAAAAAAGGTATTTTAAATTTTTAATTTAATTAATTATTTCAGGCTAACCATGAAACTTTTACAAGACATAAGTGTAGTTTGAATAATAGTTTTTTTTTTTGCCAAGTTTCAAAACGATAAGCATTTAGTCACTTACTTCTCAACAACAGTACCAATTTCTACACAGGTCCTCTCTGCAGCTTCTCGAAACGCAGGGTCTGGATGTGCAACTTTCACAAAATCTGCCTTTAAACATAAAAATAAAATAATATAATATATAAATAACAATTTGAGAGCACAAGGTGTCAAAAGTGTCAAAACTAATAGTCAGTACTATATGTAGTACTGACTGAAAAAACAACAACACTCAAACAGGACATTTTCAGTTTTTAAAATTATCCTGAATTTTATCAAAAATATTATAATGTGTGGAAAAAATGCAGTTTATTGTCTAAAAAAAGTGTTTTTTTTATTATCACTGTGGTACTGAAATTGATATCAAGTATGAAACCATAGACAGACTAGTAAATCTAACTGAAATGTCTGTATACCTGCTGTGTGTTTAAACATTAAAATTGTATTTCAACAACATAGTCATATACAGTATATACCACAGCAGCAGCATCACAAGTGGAGGCTGCTGTCTATAACTCGTGCATCTCTTAGAGTTCATCTTGAGTAACTCACCAGGTCGGCCACTTTACACAGTCCATCTGAGAGCTGGTCAAAGGACTCCACAGTGTCGACTCCTGGAGGACAGGTACAGGCATTCTTCAGCAGACGCTCCGTGTTCTTCAGAGCTTCTGCTGTGGCCACCTGGAACCCTGCAGGACAGTTCAGCTCAGCCACTCCAAACAAGCCCTGTGAAGAGAACAACACCAAAGATGGATTAGAAATTGAGGCAAGTATGAGTTCAAGTTACACAATACACATTTTAAGGATAATGACCAGTGTACTTGATGTAGTAAAATCAAATGTTGGATGTTTTTAGAGCTTACTAACAAGCAAGAAAAAGGCAAGGAATGCCCATTTTGATATGTGTTCCAAATTTTGAGATGTTTTTGAATGAAGCCAAAAGCTAAATTCAATTTGATAAAATTTAATAAATTCATACTTCAGGCTTGTTTCATTTCTATAGTTTAGCTGCAATTTTTGTAGAAATAAAAAAGTTCATCATATTAAATGCCATCTGTGCTATTGCTTAGTCATGAATGTTACATAGTATGGCAATTGAACGATCTCCATGGAGAAGAGCAGGTGACACTACCAGGCCAAGATCTGTGGAGAGGCAAGCCCAGTCTGTGAGAATGTTTAGTTTTTCCTTATTTCTATTGCAAAGAATACTCCAACATAAAGATTAACTCCCATAGTGTGGAAAATTCCAGGTAAAGGAATCACACATATTCTGTGGAAAACACCAGGTAGCACCATCCCCAGCCAGAAAAAAAGTTACCTAGTGTACCTTTAAACTAAACAGAAAAAGAGAAACACAACAATATCCTTTCCATATTTCAACAAACTTTAGAATAGTTATAATTCAATACACATTTGTCAATCAGTAGAATGAACTAAACGTCCCCATTTACCCGGGGCAATCCCAGTTTTAAGCCAAGTGTCCCCTGTCCCAGCAGATTTATACAAAACCAGTGATTTGTCCCAGTTTTATAAAAGAAATGTCCCAGTTGTCCCCATTTTCTGACCAATTCGATCCCCACCAACAGCAAAGATAGGGATATATTGGTAATTTGTTTAGCCAAAATATAGAAACCATGCTTAAAAATTACCATAAAACAAAAAAAATGAAACAACAGTCCCTCAACAACAGTAAGATTTTCAAATTTCTAAACCTAGACACACCTGGGTTGGGATGGTTGGGATACATAAAATTTTGAAAAGAGTGTGTAACATTATGCAATCTCATGTCAGTCATAATCTGTTGCTGGATTTCTGTATTTTGGCAAAACAAATGACAATTTAGGCTCCTGTTTACTGGTTGGCAGGGATCACATTAGTCAAAAATTGTGATAGTTATGTTTTGGTCCTGGTTTAGACCTGATGTAGTGCTAGGTTAAGCTTAGTTTAGTCCTGGTTTAGATCTGATGTAGTCCTGGTTTAAATAGTTTATTCCTGGAGATCAAATATCAAACTCTTTCAAAAATAGGGACACCTGGGACATTTCTTGTATAAAACTTGGACAAATCACTGGTTTTGTATAATCTGCTGGGACAGGGGACACAGGACTCAACACTGAGACTGTCCCAGGTTAAATAAAGACGTCTAGTCTCCCTAAACAACCATCCTAACCCAGGTGTGTCCTAGTCTTTAATCCTGAATCTGGTCTAATCTGGTCACTCTATCAGTCAGTCTTGATGAATTAAGACAAATCCTTACCACATTTTTCTCGAAGAGATCTAATCTTCTGTGAGGTTTGGCGTTGAAAGCAGCTCCAACAGGGGACCAGGTAGTGACACTTCTGCCCACCGGAGTCCACAAAAGTCCTCTGTGCTTCACCAGGCACAGCAACCTCTTCCCCGCAGACATTTCAACTCAACTATGTGTACCAACTCGTTTCTTGACATCAATTAATTTCACCACATATAAACACCATGGCTATTTAAGCACACAACTGTCCCTAAAGTAAATCCGCATGCGTTTCCCTTTCTTTGTAATTGTTTATTTATTGTAATTATGATGAGGCTGGAGGTGCTGTCATGCTGTCTGCCTGCTAGCTCCACATGCATGTAGACAGACGGGAGGAGTATTTTCGTTAATAAGTTGAACGCAAATAAAAATAATTGTTGAATTTCGTCTTTATTAGTTGGAATAGGCTGTTAATATTACGTGTTTAATGTCAATATATATATATGCCCTTTGTTTTAATTAAATTTGTCCTTTGTTTGTGATTTTGTCGAAAGTGCGCTCCAAAAAGAGTTACGACGTCGCAGTCTTTTGACGTCACAAAAAGCGACGCAAACTTTGTAAACAACCGAAACAACCATGTAAACAACCGAAAGCTTTTTATTCTTTATTTATTTGTTTGTTTTATTCTGGAACCAAACCTTCTTTTAACCTACTTCCAACTGTATTAAAACTATGAGCCCTTTTTTTTCAAATTACAAAATCAATACATAAAATCAAGATAGGGGTGAAATGTTTTATTAAAAAACACAAAAAACAAATCATTGCACTCCACAACCACATTTGCTTCAACAGTTTTCCTGTTTATTACACATGTAGTATGAAAAACATTAAGCAAAATGCCAAAAAAGCGACTGTATTAAGAAACCTCCCCATAAACAAAACTAAACTCTAGGTGGCTGGCAAATCTGGGAAAATTAAATTTAATACTGACTGTACTTAACACAGGACTATAAAGTCTTCCCAATATGAGAAATCACAAAATTTTGCTTCTGTACATTTGGTTACTTGTACTCAGCAAAAGGTACCAATGTGTGACATATGGCAAGACGAAAAAACAAATTGTGGAAAAAAGAAGGAAGTCAGAAGGAAAGAACAAAAACATTTTAAATTAACATTTTGCTAATATCTACACTAATTCATTAAACAATAAACTCACAAAGAAATGTCATTGGGGGACTTCTATTCATTTGGCTCATTTTAATCCAGAACAGTGAAGTTTGTATGTGGATCTATATGGGAGTGCTGTAGTCAAGTCTTTCCATAAATTAATGACTTGTTTTGTCCCAGTTCGTGTGCGTGGACATTTGCAGATGTGGAATTATTTCTGCTCACAAAACACCTGCATGATTGAGACTACAGTAAACTTAGCTGACCCCTGAGTTTCTAATGCAAAACTAGTGTATGAAATACCTCTGTACAGTGTCTATTAGTGCAAGCCAGCAATATGCTCGATTTAAACAGAGGTATATCAGATAGCACCCAAGCAGACCGAATCCCCCAGAATGGCAACTCAGCTGACCATATTACAAGCCATGTGTGAGAAATAAGCATTCACTGTCCTCGTGAAAAACAGCAGTTCAAATGCTTGAATTTGTATTCCATTTATAAACAAGTTTTTCATAGAAAATATAAATAATATCCCTGAATGAAACAGATTCACAGCATTTCCTTTCAAAGACTCCAGTGCTACTACCATAATGTGACCATCAAGTGTCTCTTTGACAGTCTCCAGTTAATGTCTAAAGCTGCTAAGTATAGGGCTATTGCTGTAGCTGAAATATTGGTTATATGTTGGATTTGCACATCATGTAAACATGTTCAGTGATGCCTCTGTAAATCCACAAAACCCTCTAGGCTCCAAATTCAGACAGTTTTATGTTTTAACATACTTATCTGAAATAGTTTTGAATACTGCTGAATAGTAGACTACTGTGTCTATTAAGTTCAAATGGTCCATTATTTTCCTGTAATTTGTGTTGAAAGGAACAATATAATGATCCAAAATAGACATGCCGATTAGTAGGAAGTGGTCTGCACTCTAGTTTGACTGTAGTCTGATGATCAGAACTGTCAGTCTAAACTGACTAGTCTACAATGTGGCCACATATCTATCTGAATTTAGAGCTGTCTGAGACAAAGTTTTTGTGAATCGACGGGTCATTCCACACATTCACAAGTACAGATGCACCAATCTGAATACAAATTAATTCATAGTTCAATAAAAGCCCCAGACGAAGTCCTTCATTCACTGTCTTGATAGTTGATAGTTCTTTTCCCCCTGTAGCGTGTATTTACTCGCGGGGTCCGTTTGCTGTATGTTTCATCACTATCCTCGCCCTCAGAGGCAGCAAAGGTGCGCCGCTGTCTGAGCTGGAGGCGGGACGTCCTCTGGGGACGCTGATGAGCCCGCCTCCTCTTTGGACTGCTGTGGGACCCTGAGCCAGAGAGTGAGTGTTCAGAGACAGAAGACTGGTCACTTTCTGAGTGTGATGTGTGACTACTGCTGTTGCTGCTGTAGCTTTCCCTTCCCTTTTTACGGTTTGGCTGCTTTACATTCTTCTTTCTTCTCCCTGAACGGCCAGTGTCGTCCTCCTTCTCCTCTTCCTGATCTGCAGACTGAGAAGCAGAGTCCTCCTCATTGCTGCCACTATCCAGTGATTTGGATTTCTTTTTAGGAGTTTTAGAGGGCCCAGACCTGCTATTCTTGTTCTTCTTGGACACAGGCTCCTCTTCCTTCTCCTCTGCATCCTCAGAATCTGAAGTGTAAATGCGTTTTCTTTTGGAAGAAGATTGCTCTCTTATTCCATTTGATACATTTCTGTTTGATGCTTGCCTTTTCGGTCTGTTAGATGCTGAGGTGGAGATTCCGTTTGTTGCTTTCTTCTGGCTCTCAGAAGTGTCAGAAAGGGAGTGGTCACTGGTGTATTTCTTTTTTATTAAAGTCCTAAGTCTTGGCCTTCTGCTACTGTTGTCTGAATGATCAGGGTCCTCCTCTGAAGAACCAGTGGAGCCTTTACGTCTGGACTTGGTCCTAGGCTTGTATTCTTGGTTAGAACTCTCTGAGGCAGAGGAGGTACCGCGACCTCGCTTCGGTTTGCTCTTGTTTCTAGTTCGCCTTAGTGACCGTGCATCAGGCTCGAACTCGTCACTAGAGCTGTCCTTCATTTCCTTTTTCGCACGTGTTCTGGATGTCTTAGGAACATCACTCAGCTCCTCGGAATCATCAGCTTCTGTTTTTCTAGATGCAGCAAATTTTGGTTGGTCTTGGCCTTTTGATAACAATTTATTTGTCTTTTTCTTAGGGCTAGTTTTATCTGAATCTTGTCCATTTTGACTTGGTTTCTGTGAAGAAGGACTTTTGTCCTTTTTAGGTGGTTGCCAGTCGTCTTCATCCTGCTCCTCCTCATCACTTGAAATCCTACTTTTCTTTGCAGCATTGACTGCTGCTCTTCTTATAGGTTTCTCAGGCTGCTCTTCATCTTCAGAACTTTCTTCACTAGATTCCTCTTGGTCTGAGCAATGTTGTGCATCATGTCCATTGGCCAAGATATCTGCAGATAAAATTAATTAAAATCTAATTGTCTAACCAAACTCATAAAAAGTGGTGGCAAAATGTTACTCACCATTGCTTTTTGATTTGGGATCCTGTCTTTGTTTTTTAGTGTTTCCATTTTGCTGACAAGATGAAGAGTTTGTGTTTTGAACCTCCTCCTCACTGGATTCATTTGTGTTGTGAGAATCTGCAAAATGATCAAATTATAAAAATTATAAAAATCAAATAAGAACTTTAACAGTAGATTAATTTACTTAAACTCAGATCAGTGTTTTGTTATGTTAACCTACCTTCCTCTGATTCGGAGCTGCTCTTAATTACTGCTGTGCGTTTGTTAGTTCGAGATGAGTTTCTTAAATGGCTGTTCCTTGGCGACTGGTCTTGCTGTTCCTCCTTCTCTGAGCCTTCCTCCTCAGAGGCCTCTAACAGTTTGATCTTATTGACAGCGGCTTGAGCTGTCCTCCTCTTCAGAGCCCTTCGGCCTGATGCCTCCTCTTCCTCTGAGTCTGAGGAAGCTCTGTCAGACTCACTGCGCTGACGCCTGTCCCTGAGAGAGGAGCGGCTGCTGTGGCCATTCACCATGGAACGCTCTGAAAACCACACAAGGACATGAAGCTTTACAAGGTTAGGTACAGAATACTAAAGAATACAGAGTGATAGAGAGATAAGCAGCACATTGAGCCAGTGACTAAGCAAATGAACCACACATCATACAGACCTGATTGCCTTCTGTCTGCACCAGAGCGGTTTCTGGTGAGTCTTGTGCTCCTATGGCTGGATCTGCTAGGATAGCGACTGCTTGACATCTCCTCTTCTTCACTACCCATTTCTTCTTCATTGTCATCATCACTATCACTTGCAGCTATGAAAAAGATGTGAGCATGTACTTTTACAGGCATTTAGGGCTTAAGTGTAGTATTTGATGTGATTTATTTAATATTTGGGCTTTAATATTCAAACTGACCTCACATTAACAGTCTTATCTAAAAGTATGCATCTTCTACCACTAACCTTTGTTAGCATGCTTTGAATTGTTGCTTCTGGTGGGCCGTGTGGCTTTGCCTTGTTGTCTGGATGTTCTTGAGTGTTTGTCATCTTCAGACTCACTGGCGTCACTCTCACTTTCAGATTCTGAACACACAACAGATAATACATAGAAAATTACACAAAATGTGGATTAAAAATGTCAATGCAATAATGTAATTTTGACAATGGCTGATGCTTGGTTAAACTTGGCCAAGCTCACACATGTGTGCTGTACCTGATGTAGAGGCAGCTTTAACATCGTCGTCTTCAGATGAGCTGTTCTCAGAGCTGCGCTGTTTCCGACGGGCCCTGTCCGAGACACTCTTGGCTGAGGTAGATTTGGTCACTGATGTCTCCCTTTTTTCCTGAGTTTTGGCAGCACCTTTCCTGTGACTAAACAAGATACAAGATAACATATTATTTTAAACCAACAAAAGCTTTGCTATGATATGCAGACCTATATAAAGACAAACTTTGTGTTATTGGTGGTTGATGGCTGTTCCTGTAGTTGCATCTTCTTGCGGAACCTTTGGCTTCGTCGGAGCCTCTCACTGCTCTTCACAGCTGTTTTGTACTCTGATATGATGGTTCGGAATCGCTCTTCAAAAAACGCTGACAGACGCAATGTCATGCTGTAAATCTTCAGGTCAAAGAACAGAATTCTTTATAGACAAAATACATCAATAAACAATACCAATTTAGAGAATACTGACAAAATGTGATACCTTGGAGCGTTTGTTGGGTGTGTAGGCTTTGGCATTGGCAAATATTAACCGCGCATCTTTGCACAATTCTATGGGGTTTTCATAGCGGTCTTCCTCCAAAGTTCTCCTCACTGTGCCAAAGTCCATTGGTGTGTCTATAATGTCATGGTAGTCCTGGGCAAACACAAAATATAATGTGGATAAAGATGCAATAATATCCATATCTAATGCTGGTGTGTTTAGAGCTACTAGAAATGTTTTCTGGCAAGACAACAAACTGAGGCCTGTACTATGACGATAGCTAAACTTATCCTGGATAATTTCCACTAAACCAGACATGGGGCAGTCTGGATACGCAGTATTACAAAGCAGGTATATCTCTATCAAACCTGGCTATTCTGAATGAAGCTCTGTGCAAACACAGCACAGGGCGCAGGGTTACCACTAATTAACCAATTCTTCTCCATGGAGAAGGGGAGAGCTACATACATTACACAGAGAGGAACTGTCAATCATAACTTCACTAAATATGACAAATTTTAAAAAAATGGCATAAGCCAAAACACAGTTGGTTACTGTTGTTACCCCCAAAGGGTAGTGTGTGGCATGTATTATCCATTTTTTTTTACTGCAGAGTTGAGCAAAACAAGAAGGCTATAGGTTAAGTATAAAAAGTAAAGCATTTACTGGATAATTGTCTGGATCCACAGGCTGTCTGAATGGCTCAGAGTCCTCGCATTCTAAAATATAATTCAGCAGACTCTTGCACTGCTCCTTCCAAGCATCTCGATCAGGAAGAACCTCTACAGTGCGCTTCAGTGGGGAAAAAAAAAAACATTTTTACATACATCAGCAGCAGCAGCAGCAGCAGCAGAAGAAAACTCAAGTGCAAGTTGGGTTTATTTACCTGCCGCAGTCGATGTCCAGAAGACGTCCCTGGAGCCTCTGCATCTTCCTCCTAAAAGAAGGTTTCAAACGGCATTAATAACTGAATGTTTAGTGCTTAAAAATAAATAAAAATAAAAACTTACTTCGTCCCCATCATCACCCATTTCTTCCACAGCATTATAAATCTCCATAATATCTGTGCAGCTTGGATTACTACAATATACACACAAAGTCAGTGCAATGTTGAGTGAAATGTTAGAGAGTTTGTGTTCTTGTACAAGCAAAACTTACTTGATAAACTTCAGAAGAACATTAGTGATGATTTTGGCTGAGTCTGCTATTTTGCTTCTTGGCTCGTTAAAAGTGCGTGCATTGGTTGCAATATATCTTGCATCCCAAATTAGTGCAGAAAGTCGTCTGTAGGATTAAACAATTGCATAAGTTCAACTTTAAAAAGGTGTGTCAGCTAAAAAAACAAAAACAAAAACAAAATGTAATTTTGATTTTACCTGTAGAACCTGTGCATGAGCCGCAGCTTGATGGTGCCCAGATCCGTGGGGTAGGCGATCACAGTGCAGTAGGTGGGGTACTGTGTGAGGTCTACTGGACCAGCAAAGGGTGCAACGATATCTGTAGATCAAGTAGAGGAAAAAAGGGTCGATAGAGCTATGGCACTAAGAGGCAGATTCACACATTACATGAGGCTAAAGCTACCAGTGCACAATCATCTCTTCTGCATGACACAAGAAGTGACACAAGAGAAGTGTGTTTTCTGCTGTAAATAGACAGTGGCTTCACACACCAACACCGTTGAGCTGACTGATGCCTGTAATGATGCGTTCACACTCTTCATCGCGGCTCCGCTCGCCCCACTCTCCAGGCTGAGGCTTGTACATGAGCTCCCTCATCTCCTCTGCTGTCACTGGGATCCCTGCTCCCTCTGTTTCAGGCTGCTGGGCTGCAAAGCATTCACCACTCTTACAATGGCACAGGTCACACAGCAATAACAAGCTTTTCTGTGGACAACAAACTGCTAAATGATAATGCTTCAGATATACAACCGTTTCCCAGTTCAAGAGATACACTTGGAGTTGTATTAGCTAATCAACTTTATGTTCTGGACATTTTAGTGAATGAGGGAGTATATTGTCTAATGGAGAGCAGTCCTTCAGACAGCAGCAACAGACACCTCGAGGTTTGGAGTTTCCACACCATTTCAAGAGTTGGACTTGGACTAATTGTGTAAAGGGATGAACAGAGGAGGGTTCAAGGGTTATTTAACCTGCTTTGTGAAAGTGTCCCTTGGTTTAGTTTTGTTGATAGTAAAGTATTAATTTTGCACTGATGCAGTTGACAGAGTAGACAGTGACATAATGTGGCTATGTCTGAGGTTAAATATATGCTTTCTACGGGAGAAATCACAAACAACAAATTCTAAGTAACAGCCCTTTTACCTTCATCAGAAATGGGCTCAATATCCCATGGACTCAGCTTCTCAGTCTCCCCATTATCCCACCTGAAAATTATGCAAAACAGCGTTAAAAGACGTAGTGGTTAGTTAGTCATACTGGTTTTGATGTTCACTCACTTGACTTTGAAACACTGAAACAGGCTGTCTGGGTACTCTGGCTGATAAGGCTCTTGACAGTCTATAGTTCCAAACCACCAAGCATCGTCTATAACCGAGCGGAACCTGTCATCTGCACAAGGAAAGTGTCAGTCACAACAGTCTTGAATGGAAAATACAAACAAATAACCATTTCTTGGATTAACTTACTTGGCTGCCAGTTCCTTCGGAGTGCTTCATCATAGCTTTGCCTTAGGACCAAGAAATCAATGACATCAGGCATGTCGTGATACCTGAGATCAAAAATAAGTAAATGGTTTATTTGAACATTTATGAAAATACATAAAATTTGAAGATGCTTACTTTATAGTAAAAGACTTGTCAGTGATTTTTCCATTGCCAGTGTCAATAAGAGTCAACTTCAGGCAGCACAGCGTTGGGGGGCAGACTTCATATTTGATCCCTGTAATTTTCACAAACTCCTGGTCCTGCACATCACAGTTGACAGCAACAACAGACGAGTTAGAGGCACTCTGAAGTTGACAACAGCTTTAGCTCCACTAAGCAATTTTGATCCCATCCCATTAGCTTACCCGCAACTCCATTTTCTTCCAAGGCTGTTTTTCTAAATTTATAGGATACAATTCAGTCCGACACACAGCATCAACATAGGCCTCATGTCCTTGGCGAAAGTAGATTACCTAATACAATCCAACAATCAAACACTGTTTTTTGCAATGACCAAGTCTGAGACTTTTTTGTACGTGAACCTAGTACTTTTGCATACCTCATCTCCCATTTGAGGGACAAAAGGAGACTTCCTGGGAATGACATCAGTAATCCATTGGGATGGTCTGAACTCATTGGACACTTCTCTGTTGATGGACGGCCTGGGTTTGGGTCGCTGATAAAAAAAGATTTCACAAATAAAAAGAGTTCAGGCCTGGAGAATCTGCAGATATTCAACATAACTTACACGTGGGGACTTTGTTTTCTCCTTCTTTGTTTTGCTTTTGCTTTTCTTCTGAGGACTTTCCTCTTCGTCGCTGTGCTGCTTCTCCTCCTCTTCCTCATTCTCCTCTTCCTTTGTGTCTTCCTCCTCTTCTTCAGAGCTGCTGAGCTGCCGGCGCACACGCTTTCTCGCTGACAGGGGTGTGGAGGGCTGCAGGTTTATCCCTGCATCTGCAGTCCAGTCCGAGTACTCACTAGATGAGTGACTGTTCAGATAAATATTATTAACAAAAAGGAAACCAATTCATAAAAAAATTAAGTCATTGCATTATGAGTAGGTCTCATCTAAGGAAATTTAAAGAGTTTTTATGCTAAAATTCTCTGGTCTATGCAAACCCAAAAATACCTTGGACTGTCACTATTCCACTCCTCGTCATTAGATGTGTCCAGGTCACTGCCATCCAGCTCATTGTCCTGTGCAGATGATTATAGCATTTGGTTTATTATGAAGCCATCAGCAATAAATATAAACACAGTAATAGTTACGCATGCTACCTCAGTGTGTGCATCTGAGGAGGCTGTCTCCTCTCCTTCTTCACAGGACAAGTCCAAATATTCCTGAGGATCAGTGCGGCTGTGGGACTTTTTGACAGGGGGAGGCTCTTCATCAGAATCATCCTGTCACAGACATAATCCATTAATAACATTCTAATATAGTTTACACACTAAATTTATATAACTAAATAAATATTCTTTTTGTAGTAGGAAACACTTACTCGACAACTGCTGTACATAATACGTCTTTTCCGTGCAATAAATAGTGCAACTTCTTCATCTCCTTTAACACTCCTGATCTCTTCCTGATCCCTGAAAAACAAATCCAATGGTTTACATACTAGGGATGCAACAGTTCAGACCTCAGAGCTCATAAGTTTTATTCATAAAATGGTTTGTTGAGACATTTCTATGTAATATTACACAGTTTGAATGTTCACAAGGAAGGTGGGAGAGCACTGTATGTCTGTAAGAGCACAGACTGTAGTAGGGGAGTTAGGGGAGGAGCTATAGTCTGTCACTGCTGCTACTAGAGGGGAGCAGAGCAGCACAGACACAGGCATGTAACACAGTGAGATGAGGAAGGAGGAAGAGGAAAAGAATCCAAACACCTCATCAAATCACCATCCAAAACGGAAGTCTGACATTGTATTTCACCAAGCACTCTATATGACTAAGAGTATATTGTATAAACTGTTTTCCTTAAAAAGCACTGATTAAAAAAATCTGAGCTGTAAAGCATTGAACTAAATGAACTGAAACACTTCACACATAAACTACTTTATATTAGTTGCGCTGTAATGTGTTAAAATGTGATGTTTCATTAATAACTTAGTGTTTAAGTGTTAATATTATGCTCAGTAGCAAAAAAATGATATATATATATATTTTTTTTCCTGCATCTTAAAAGGTTTCAAAATCAAATCGATATTGTGCCCCATGTATTGAGATGCGTATTGAATCATGGGAAAACTATTATATACTCTCATATGGATATATACAATCATCTTGTAGAGTATATAAATTGTACCTATAGCCGCTGGGTGGCAGTTCGGGCACTACCACTCTGCGTCTCCAGGCCTGGAGGTCTCTTTCTGTGGCCATTTGGCTGCGTGGGGCATTCTGGTGCATCTGCCTCACACCCTCCACCTGACCGCTGCGCCGCAATCCCACATTAGGAGGAGACTGCACATCAGCCCGATCATTGACTGACACTGTAAAATAACACACATGAGCTACACCATGATTGTACAAGATCTGTATAACGTTTGAATAAGAGATGAGGCATTACCTCTGCGCGGGGTGCTGGGGGCAGGCAGCAGTGCTGGACCTTCTCTGTGAGGCTGCTGTGGTGCTCCACTCTCAGGCTGAGTCTGGCGGTCTTGTTGTGCCTGTAGCTGTCGGATGGCCTCATCCAGGAGACTACTACGCCGTACAGCCACTTCCTCTGGCTCTGCAGTCTGCTGACTGATCACCTGCTCCACCACTTCACCATCACCTGCAGATAACAGTACATGTACGATCTGTGTGCTTGGTTCACAACGATGTAAAAAGAAGTCCACTTTAGTTCTTACTTGTAGCAACATATCCCAGCTGTGGAACTAAGTGTTCAGCTGCAATGTTCTCCCGACCAGGAACCAGGCGCTGATACCTACAGACAAAATTCAAGCATGATTCAAAATTATCACTTGTAAATGGCAGTCAATTCCTTTCAAGTCCTCCTCACACAGGCACGAGACTCGTACAACACCAACAGGCCTCAAAACATTTTCTAAACCATATTATGAATCTGTAGATTTATTGAAACACAAAGTACAGTCTCCTGAATTAAAGGCCCATGTACCTGGGCGGGTGAGGGTTTCCATCTACATCCACCAAAAATGGAGGAGGCATGAGATGAGGAGCCTGCTGTGTCTGTTCGTCCAGGACAAAGCCATTGGCGTCTCTGATAAGGGGCCTGTAGTCTGTGTGAAAGAACACTTGGTCTGGGAGCTAAGGAGTAAAAAACACACATTGCCCTTAGAAAAGTGAGCAGTGGACTTCAAAAACACATACTGTACATTTGTTCAAAGCCTTCTTATACTTGCCTTCTCATACGGCTTAGAACTGCCAAAGCCAAAGATGAGCAGATGGCCATGTGAATCAGTGCAGGCAAAGCGTTGTCCATCAGGAGTGAATTTACAGTCAAACACTGCTCCATGTCCCTGGCCTTCAATCTGTATTTAGTTTACGTATTATTTATTATATATACAAGTAGCCACAGTGAGGTTTTTGAATGGGAAATATATTCCAAAACTCATAATGTACCATATTGAAGTAGTGCTGAATGTTAGTTCCTCGCTGCAGGTCCCAAATGTACACATTCCCGTCGTGGCCAGCAGACAGAATGATCCTGGGGTCAAAGGGATGTGGCTCCAGCACAAACACCTCAGCCTCATGCCCCTGAAAACATTTACATCAGTTCGATCCAAGCGCTTTCAAAATTATCTTTTGTAAAGCACAAAGAAAATTGTGGGTACTTTAAGGACGTGCAGCAGCTGTCCTGTGTAGGAGTTCCACACTTTGAGGAGATGGTTGTTAATGGCGGTGATAACTGTATTGTCATGCCGATCCCACGCAACCATGGTGACTTTGGGTTTAAAGTAGCTTTCTTCAGAATCATTCACTGGATCAGATCTGATGGGACAAACAACGAAAAACACTGTCAAAAAACAAAAAAAGATTAATTGACATACTAAAATAAACAGAAAACGAAATATACGAGGGAACAGAAAATACCTAAACGTAAATATGATGTGACAGCTCTAAAATATAAAAACACACACTCAAACACTGGACTGAGAAACTCTATACTACCCACAAACCTCCTAGCCTGATTTATCAGCCAGTTTCGCCTTGTGTAAACCATCTGACCTTGCAGCATTAGAATTTGTTCACTCGATGGTAGGCAGGTACTTTTTTTTATTTAACCAGTCACTGCCATTTGGTCGTGAAGTATGTAATGCGCCACTAACGGGGTTAACTGGTATATTAAGCTTTTCCTGAATCCCGCAGGAAGAAGAGCAATAACATCTTTCCCCTTGATAAAATTCACCAAACATTCTCTTTATTCCGGCTTTAAATCCTCGATCTCAGGAATCGTTGCCAACACACAGCCCACAACACAGCTCACAGCTCTGATTGGCTAGTGCCCAGACTCGCACTTCTGGGGTTTTTGCAAACTGTCTAGTGTATTCCGAGAAATAAAATTGAGTGGAGGCACTAGGTGACGCCAGCCTAGCTACAACCCCCCCCACCCTAAATATTTATGTGTTGTGTGCGTTTATCTTTTGTCACATTTTGTTATGTTTATTTTGTTATTAATGTGCTGGGTATGCATAACCTCATAATGAACAAAATTAAAATAAAAGAAAGAAAGAAAATATTTGCTACAGACTTAAATAACTGACTAAAACGCATGTATGTTATTTAGTCTGTCTGCACACAAGTATTTTAAGTGGATTCCGTTCACCAGAGCAGCCCATCGGCAAAAACCTTAGCGAACATTTATACTTGTTTTGGTTTTAGCCCAGTTTAGTCCTAATGTAATGACTTGGTTTGGTCCAGTTCTAGTTCTGGGTTTAGCGAAGCGTGAACACAGCCTTAAGACATGCTATGCAGTTTTTGGGGAAGCACTTCTATAGAAAATACTCACAACCTCCTGTGTCAGTGATAAGTCATTTGACAAGAGAGATCTCACTAAATCTCACAGCAGTCCGTTTCTGAGCATCAAATCGATAGTTTAATTTCAGAGTCTTACTGGCAGACACACCAACCAACTAACTTACACTGCAACATCAATAAGTCTGCTCTCCCTCGTGTTTAAAAGAAGAGTGCTCACCCCGGTAGAGTAGCAGCCATATTGAGAAGAATACATCTCCACTGGTGGCGGTTATGGAGCTTCCAGATACGCGCTGTTCCATCTCGACTCCCACTCACAAACCTGCAAAGAAAACACAACACAATATTAGTTTACACACATCTGGACATTCAATTTTAGTACATTTTGCCTTGATGACCACAAACCTTTCACTTGTATGGCAAAACTGAATGCTGTCCACTTTATCCTAGAGACAAATGTAGTGAATTTAAATGGAACAAAAGTCCTAGACTACGCAAAATTGACTCTTGTGAGCTTTTAGCCATGTAAAAATGTTGTTACCTCCTCAAAACATACCAATTGTGTTTTGTTTCTTTCAGACATGTTTGAGTAATCCTATTTTATTAAGTTTGTCTAAACCTCAAAATGCTCTGTTCCATCCTGTAATGTAATAAAGAGGTAGTTTTCAAATGAATGACTACCCTTTATCTTCTTTAATTCAGTAAAGATGGGCAATTCCAGGGCTGAAATCGACCAAAAGATTCTGATGAAGGTGTATGAAGTTTAAAAACACAGCGGATTTCTATTTAAACACGTGTAAATGAAGCAAAACACAACTCAGTATGTTTCTGATAAGGACAAAGCATTATAATGTTACAGATTATACAAAAGACCTTTAAATTACATTGAAAATAAAAACTATATTTAAAATTGTCTTACAGTGTGTTCATGAAGGTCTGATATTTTCTCAGGACTGCCACTTCCCAGGTAATATATTCTGATGACATCGTCTGTGCTTCCTGTTGCTAGAAACATCCCACCTGGACGATTTGTGAACTTTGAGTCAATTAACCAATGAAGAACACGTGTATTTTTTGCTAAAATGTTGAGGTTGTCATCTTTACCTGGACTGAAGGAGGAGCAAACGGTCTGAACGCCCGGTCGTGGCCTCTCTGTGAACTTTATGGGTCGATCACTGGAAATACATTTGTGGGAAAAAGGAAAATTGTGGGAGTTGCTGGCAGTCAATACAATTACATCTGAAAACAAGTGACAATAATGTAGGTCATCTGTCCTAAAATTACTTTCGTTTTTTGTATTTACTAATATTAGTATTTTTTATGTTTTCATTTACTTGCTTTTTTATTTTTTATGCTTTATTTAATTTAAATTATACTGTGCACACTGTGTACAGCACTTTGGAGACATGTTGGTAAAACGTGCTATACAAATAAAGTTGGACTGGACGGGATAAAATGAGTGAGTTCACCACTTAACACATATTCCTGACCATTTCTTGCCCATTACTGTTAAATCCATCTACTAGCTGTGCCAGTGTGCAGTGTGCAGTGTACATATGCAGTAGTAATCCAGGTATGATTGGAGTGTGGAGTATGTTCTCCATCTGATAGCGAATAAGAACATTCAAATTACAACCCCTTGCAATCAGGTGTCCTGTGTTTACAAGCATATAGAAAACCAGTTAAAAATGGAGTATCCTCGTAATCACCAAAAGGCCAGTCTATCCCAGGACACTTAGGGCTAGAAGGTGCTTCCCACGACCAAGTGTGAAGTGAATATAAAATACAATATAAAGCATTTCAGCACTTTGCTTCAGAAATCAAATGCACATTAAAAGGGAAATCTAAAAGCAAAATGTTGGGTCCAAACTGACACCTTTTTCAAAAGTAGTCACATCACTGCTGTTTAAATGTACAGATAATCACCAAAACACATGAGTAATTATAGATTCATATTCTAATAACCAATATAGTTAGGATAATATAGTACCTCTCATTACTGATGGGTCATTTAAAATAACAATAGACTACAATTCTGATGACTACACCTGCATGCTGAAATATCCCATACCCAGTACAATATATGCAGAGCATCTTAGACTCACCTAAAGTTGGTTTTGAACATCCCACTGCCAGAAACAGACTGTAGCATCAGTACCAGTTGACAGCATGTAACGTTTTGAGCCCTTGGCAAATGGTGAGAACTGAAAATACAATTGACAAGGAAAATAAAAAAATATGCAATGTTAAACAATTTCCAATATTCCCAAGGTTGACCTCTGCTGTACCTGTAAGGAGGTAATGGATCCACTGTGTCCCTGTAGCACAGCCACAGGGGCACAGGTTCGAAGGCACCACACACGGATGGTCTTGTCACAGCTTCCTGCTGCGATCAGTGTGTTTTCATAATTCACTGCCAAATCAGTGATCTCAGCAGAATGTCCTCTCAACGTCGAATGGAGCCGCCCGTCAAATGAAGACCAGATCTTTACGAGACAGTCATCTGAGCCCTAAAGGCAAAAAAAAAAACAGGCACTGAAACACAGTGTCTTATGGCTAGTGTCAGTGTCACTATGGCTGACACAAAATCCAAAACTCAAATGGCTAAAACAACATAGAGAATGCCATATGTTCTGATTCATATTTTATTCTTTTACATACAATCCCAAAATCTGAAAACCTGAAAAATCTGTTTCTGAACCAGCACAATAAACTGACACTTATATTACAAAATAACAATGAAAATGAGTGAACAAAGGTCTTACTGTGAAGATCCTGAGACCAGTGCGGTCAAAGGCGATACAGTACACTGCAGACAGATGGCCCAGGATGCGGCGGTGTAGACGCATGCGCTCATAGTTGCTGACAGGATTGATCGAGCTAAAGTTCTGGACTCCAGTCAGCTCTCGTCCTCTGTGAACCTTCACTGTGGATGAGAAAGGCACAGAGAGTCACAAATGAGAACTAGAAAAATAGTATAAATATAAGCAATCACAATTCAGAGGAAATGTGTTCTACACATACATAATGTATGTATGACATGGGGGCAAAGTAAAGATACTTTTAGGCAGGTTTCATGTTTTTCTATTCATTACCTGGTTTAGTGGAATAACACATGTGGTGAATAATTAACATAGTTCTAGACCAGTCAAGTGTCCATTTGTAAAGACTTTGTTTAATAAAATAGCTGAAAATGACAGGAAGTGCTGTTGGGTTTCTAAAAAAGAATCCCTATCTACATCATCACTAAATAACATTACATACAAAATTCAGGGATGATTTGCACACAAGGAACACAGTTTTTACAATTTAAACATTCATTAGGTGTTGTCTAAATTACACAATAGAAATGATTTGATGACTAAAGAGACATATCACTTTTTGCCCCTTTTTAATGCATATCATATCTTCTGCGGTGTCCAACCAAAACTGTCAAATTAGAGAAACCTTGACAAAACTTCTTATTAAATATAATGAATTGAGTAAAATGTGTGGTCTATACCGGTCATATGCATTTTAAACACTGAAAGAAAATTCAGACATTTACCAAGAGGGGGAGGTTTTCTGCAGTTCAAAGGCCTCTCTGGTGGTCGTCCCCTGTGTAGGGCTGCATATGATGAAACTGTAAACCGCACATTCTCGCATTCTAAAAAGAAAGTGACATGTCACAATAAAATTTAGAGGGAAATAAGTTATCCTGCATTGTTAGTCATGTTTAGTGAATTAAACAGGAGTGATGCACACCTTTTGCTGTCCGAAGCATAGATTGCTTTCCTGAGCCCAATAGTGAGTATACACCTGGGACACATGATGGCACCTCTTTGTCAAGAAGTGGTCCGATTTGTTGACATATCTTAAGCAAATGGTCAGGAGCAATATGTCTGTTGGCTGCCACCTGTTATAACATATAGAGCCAAACACATCAGTAATGTATTACCTTGTAATACATTTATAAAAAAAAAAAAGGCCACCATTAGCGCCAATTCCCAAAAGAGCCTTAAATAGAAATGCCATTCAGATCTGTAGGCAAACCATGTTTAACTCTGATTTAATAAAAACATTTTAGATAGCAGAGATCAAAAAAAAAAAAAAAAAAAAAGAGCAGATAACTTTTAATGCATTTGCTGTGTACATGTTTCTGAACCATTGCCTTCTAAGAGGTGTGGCCTATTATGCAAAAACATCCTTTTTTAACCCAATCAGAGCTCGGTTCACATGCAAAACAGTGCAGTGACAGTAAGCCTCGGCAGCTGATTGGCCAGCATGGCCGTCTCGACTACACCGGAGCCTACAACCCACCCTATCCGCAGTCCAACTGTCGGGCTAAATATTGTTAACCTTAGTGTTTTATCCACACATTTTTGTGCCGAAGTAATCTCAGTCAAAACCAGACACTGTTCATTTCACAAAGACACTAATGTGAGCGCTGGAGGGTCCGGCTCAGGCTGCGCCGCGGTCAGAGACGAACAGAACAAAGAGCGTAAACAGCCCGGAGCGTGGAGCACGACTGTCACCAGACAATACCAAACAAACACATATGCACACAACTTCACACTCACCACATCTTCATACGATCTGGCGTGTTCGTTTCCTTGCCAATCCAATCTCCCGGGTAAGAGCTGTTGAAAACAAATGGGCCAAGTAAAGCTACACTAGAAACACAGGGCGAACATAAACCGGGTTAAACCCAGCTATAAACAAATGATTGAGACGAATAGTGGAGGTAAAAGTGACTGAGTCAAACAACTTTTAATGGCTAGACTCGGCATAGACCCGCAGATAGCAGCTAGCAAAGACAACACGGATACAGACCTGATATTCCTCTAATTCAGTGGCCAGGACCTATAGTGGACGAAAAGCAATGGCTCACATTATAATGTCACATTAACGCGATTATAACAACAGTCAACTATTTTGAAATACAGAGACGGTGCCAGTCAAGACACGCCAGCTCACCTCAGCTGCTCTCCGACAGGGACCCGTGGTTAGAAAACGAGAGACTAGGTAATACAGCTCTGAAATTTGACAAAGCGAGATTCATTAGCGACCAGGCAGAAGCTGTATCAATTAACCTCAGCGTTAACGAACTACATTGGACTACAATTAGGTTTACTTCAACCGCTTACCCGTTTCAAGGAGCGAAATGTTCCGACTTTTGGCCATGGAATCGGCCTTTAGTTGGAGAGTTCGAGTTGATTTAACTCCAACTTTATGGCCGTGTGAAGATTGATATATTTAATTAATTGTGGTAGTTCCAGTGCTCTGGCCCCCTCCACAGTTGCTCCCGCTTTCTGTTGAGCCTGTTTGCAGTCGCCATTGGAAGGATGAGGCCTGAGCGTTCACTTACTTCCGCCACAGCGGAGTGCACAGGAACCAGGGGGAGGGGAGAGCAACAAAAGAATTATCTGCTGTCCTCACCACGGCTTTTATCTTTTACTAAACACTTTATTCTCTTTAGCTAGCGCACAACCAAAATTATCTACATAAGTTTGAAAAAAGAAAATCATGTTTATAAATTAGTTAATTACGAAGCACGCGCTGTGACAAGGTCGCCTCTTCTGTCATGACGTAATGCACAAATAACATTGATCTCATAGATATGTATGATCATGCATTATTTATCTCTCTGCTTCAGCAGCTTCACTTTAAAGTGCTTAAAAGAAACACATTTTTTACTCAAATAATACACCTTACGAAATTAGGCTACCTCAAATGTTTACTTGAAAAAGTCTGAAATGTGAAGTCAAAATAAAACCACTTTCCTTTTTACAAAACTTAAGAAGTTTTTATTTTTTATTCCAACATTTTTATTTGAAATTGTACATTGTTAGAGAAACCCCATATTTAGAGGACTTCCCTGAATACGATTATCCTCAAAGGATAAGCAATGACACATTTAACACATTTTAGGCACAGTTGAGAACATGCAGTTCATTTTTAAATGTACCATAATAAATGCAAAGAAAAGATTGGTTTCACAGCACCTGTGCATATTCATGTAATGCTCACAAAAGTATATAAGAAGAAAATACAATGATATGAAACCCTACCTCCAGTTGTTCTAAATACATTTCATCAAATTGTGTTGAAAGAAAAGACTGTATAGCATACAACAATACACCTTTCAATGATTCTAAAAAAAACACACTGGAATAGTGATGAATGTATTAAAAATCAAAAACATTACAGGTTACAAAAACACCACCTCTGGAATGCCCTCAACCAGGTTTCCAAGTTCAGTGACAGATTTCAGATTTTAAAAAACAGTAAAATAAAAATAACTAAAATCTAAGGCCACAAAGCTAGAAGTATTCCCAACACAAACATCCCTTCACTGAAACCACAAAACTTGAATTTGTAGTTAAAATATCCCTAAAAACACTGCTGTTTTAAGAAAATAGAGATTCTCTGTGTTGCCTACAAATAAGGTAGAAGGTGGTGAGTGAAACTGAGAACTCATTCGGCCTCTTTCTCTTCCTCAGCCTCGTCCTCTTTTTCATCAGCTTCAGCGTCAGCCTCTGGTGCAGCCTCCTAAACACAATCATTCATTTAGACAAACCAAACTTTCAAACACGTATATTACTCAAAATTATTGAAAACGTTCAAATGCAAAGGTCGTACCTCATCAGCTTTGGCGTCTCCGTTCTCTGCTGGGGCAGGTGCTTCTTCCTCCTTCTCCTCTTCTACCTCAGGCTCTTCTACCTTCTCTTCCTGCTTGGCCTTTGTTTCCTTCACCTTCTTAGGTTTAGCAGGTGCCTAAGAATTAATGATACAATTAAATTACAAGCTCTAGTCTAGGAGAAAAGTACCAATTTTTGTTGAAAGTTGTTTTTTTTTTTTTTACCTTTTTCTTTTCTGGTTCAGGTGCTGGTTCTATTTGTTTCTGCAACAGAAAACATTATAAGTTTAGATGATTTGTGTATGAATAAATAAACTGGGCCTTGGCTGAAAGAAATTACTTACCTCTGACAATCTGGCTGACTTTCTTCTTGGCTAAAAACAGAAAAGAACCGTTATTCAACTGAATACTCCAAAAACATTATTTGTGTCTCTTCAATGAGTCGAAATTCTGACATTTTTTTTTTCTTTTTAAGATATTTTATTACACAAGAATACATATAAAATACAATAAATGTAAGTTTGTCTAAGACTAAATAATATGTGCATTTGCTTTAATGTAATCACGGTGATGAAGAACATCATTAAAGCACTGGCGCCCTCTATTGGGGCAAGTGTGCAATGAAAGACAAACTACAGGGCTGCAAAGTGTTAAAATGTATTCTTGTTCTACGTTCACTTATGGTAGTATTCTGGTACATTTTAATAAAACTAAGATGTTGGGGCGCAAAACTACAAAAACAAAGCAAATGGGCCAAGTGTGACCGTGCATATCTGTTGACATCTGTTGAGAACAAAATGTTCATTTGGGTCACAGTTGGTCATATTGGCTCATAGAATGAAAAACTGCACATGTATGTGTAATACAAACCTCGATTGCTGCATCAGCTTCACCGGTAGACTGTAAAAAGAAAAGGAGATATCATAAATAAGACCAAAAATAAAGTCCCATACACGAGTGAGTAAAAGTGGGTGTGTGAGGCAGAGGGGGGATGGGCACTCCTCTCCCTTAAGTCACAAATAAATTGTTTAATCTGTGAGGAAGGAAGAGGGGGTCTAACATTCAAAATTGATTTCTTTCAATAGAAAATGTACTTTGTATTCCAGCCACGTGTTTACCAAAAAGATTATTGTGTATAACCGAACATACTATTGGCACCGTGTACACAACACGTTTGTACAGTGGCACAGGCTACTCATGGCTCCCAGGAGGGAATAAGCAAAGGGAAAGAATGAATGTAAAAAAGGACTTATTTTACATTTCGCAAGATAACTGCGACCAGTCGTCTAAAAAAAACAGTGAAGAGAATACTTAACAGCTCAAACGAAGGCGAGGTCGGAGGCAAATTAACCATGCATGTGAGCTTAAAAAATACATTACAACCTAAGAAAAACTGTAAAATTATTATAAAACATCCAAGAACAGGCATAGACCTGATACGTCTGCATTCAGTCGACAGATGGAGTTATTAAGACGATCGAAGAAAAATCGAAATTGTAACGTGTCTCATGAGGGGCAACACACCCCTTTGTTCTGAAGTAACGAAAAGCACAATGTGGCAGAAAAACACATGAGAACAGGAGTGCTACACGTCTGCAGGAACAGTCACTCAAAGTACAGTAGATTTTCCCAATGCAGCGAGGCGCGCAGCTCTAAGTAAAAAGGCGCCACTTTCCAGTATCAACAGCACCAGGCTGACCTGAGCTGCAAAGGTGCTCTGCAGACACACGGAGCCAGACAAATTCAGCGTTTGTGACCAGGGATTCACAAGCATTCGTGCACTAGGTCGATTAAAAGTTAAAAAGTTTAACACTTTCCTATACATCTGTAATAGTCCATACTGTAAATACTCAAAACATCATGAAGGTTCACTTACTTTCTTCCTCGGCATTGTGGCACAGGTTTTGGGTTCGAGAAAAGGAGGACAATGGAGACTTGAGCTGCAGCTGTGAATAAACTCAATGTAAAGCCTGAGCCTGTGAAGAGGGCACCTCACATAAAAGCACCTCCCGAGGACTCCGTGTTACTTCACACACACATCCGAGCAGTACCAGAACTAGCTGAAACCGGATTGGATCCCCACACGGTATATTTTATCCTGTATCCTACCAACCCAGCAGGGAGAGCCTCCACCCGCCCCCCGCCTTCACTGATTGGCTTCGCGCTGGAGGCCACTCGGTTTCAAACTAGAACAGCTCACCTGTGTGGGCCGGAGCGCACGCCAATCATTACGCACTGGCCCATTAGGCTTTTTTTTCTTCCGACTCACCGTTTCTGTCAATGCAACAACAAATTTGAAATGTTTTTTTAAAATAAAGAAACACACATATGCCCACGTGTTCAGCCAAGTATCCTTCATAAAAGATTACTGCTTAACTATAAAGTACCACGTGAAAGGTCCATGTATGGTACAGTAAAATACTCTGGTTATGAAAGATCTGCATGGTGATTAAATTAGAAAGGCTACTGCTGTGCGTGTTGTCTTTGCTACAATAACACTCATATCCGTGTGTTCTCACTCATTAATTAGCAGGGTAAGTTAAATGAGTGTGTGATGCAGCGGGATCATTGGCTGCAGGCCGCGCTGCTGCTGCCGCCGCTGCGTACTGTGGATCCATGTGTGCGGGGCGGAGAAACAAACATGGCGGCGGGATACGCTTGGTTCCTCGTGTTGTGTTCAGTTTTTTTGTGCAACTTAATGAAAACACTCCTCCCGTCCATATCTTCGTGTGTGAGTAGGGTGCTTTTCTTCTCTGTGTAGATAGTTTCGCTTGATTGCTTTGCATTTTACGAGAAGAGAAGATACCAAAGGCTGTACGTGCTAACACAGGGCTAGCACAATACCCTTTCTGTTATGCTAGCTGTGCTATTCCTTGAAACAGGCTGCAAATTGTACAGACTGTACAGTTGCAGATGCTTTTCTGCACCAAGAGGGTGTGGTCATTCCTAGAGACCATTTACGTTGGCCCTATACATAGGAGAAGCTATGTTCCTTATGGATGTAGCAGCTTGGACATTACAGAAGGCTCCTCTCAGAGCAGAGACCACTGCTCCTCCAGTATCTAAACTCTGACTTTTCACAATATTGGGACAAAGCATTTGGCAGCAGAGAACAATCATCTCATTGTATTCATTTCATACTTAATGCTAGCTACGGTCAAAGTACAAAATGTTCTGCTTAGTAACTTTGAACCAGGTCTGTTGTGTTTTTTTTTTTTGCTTGTGTCACCCTGATTCTGTGAATTCATGCTCCATCATTAAACCTCTGTGCCTCTTCGCAAATGAAATCCAAACAATAGCTACAATGAGCTCCTATATATAATATATATATAGATAGATAGCTGTATACATAGATATAGACACACACACACACACACACACTTAAAAAAAAATATATATATATATATTTTATAAATAATATATAAATACCAAATACCAGTAAGCCTTCTCTTTTGCCCCAAGTGATGATGATAATAATTAAATATGTTCTTTATATCTGTGCAAAATAATAATGACCATAATAATCAATTAATCGACAGTTGTGTTTTTCTCTGTAGCTCTCCAAAATGGTGCAGAAGGATGCTGAGCAGGAAAGTGAAATGAGAGCAGAAATTCAAGATCTCAAGAGGGAGCAGTCCTCCATTAGTATGATGGATGAATTTGCCAGATATGCACGGCTGGAGCGTAAAATCAACAAGTTGACAGACCAACTAAAAACACATGGTAAGAAGTCAGAGTGGTGACTGTTGCTGACACTGAGGTGTTCAGCTTTACTGAGGGCATGTGTGCTTGTCAGCTTCTGACCACACAGATCTACTTGAGCAAAACACAAAAGAAAGCTTCTGATTAATGTCGCCTCCAACCTCATCTGCCAACAACAGGTGCTCTTGCACTGTCTTGTAATGTAGGAGAGTACAAACAGAGGTGGGTGGGGGACCTATAATAATTTAAAAAAAGATAATATTCCTATATTTGTTTCAGATCTGTGCAAAACTTTGAATCAAAAAATTGTCTATATCAGAAATGGCCAAACCAAAGAGACAAAAACAAATCTATAATACAATATTTCATCCTTTTCGTGGTTAAAGTCTTTCTTTTTTTTTTTTTTTTTTTTTTAACCTCACCCAAGACTTTTACAGACACATTTTAGCATTTCTGATGCATTGTTAAAATAATCAGAAAACTAAAAAAATGTCAACATCACCAACCCCTTGCCCAGACTTTTTACACCAATGGCCCCAAAAACGTAATCGAAGCTGAGGTACACAGTCCAGTAGTCAGTACAGCAAGCCAGAATGGCTGCTTTTAATACTGAGTGCATTTCATGTAGCTTTGACAAAGTCATGTACATTTAATATCTGTGAGAACATTCATTTTAAGTCTTTATCACAATGCAATGTGACATAATTGGGGTTATCATGGTAGAATTACTTGAATCTGCAGTAAAAAGCACTGTCTATGATAATATAGGCCAATTTGGAAGGAGGCCTGAGGTTGGAGAGCGCCTTTCCAATGTAAATGTGTGTTTTTAAATTGTTAAATTGAGTGTGGCTTTTTTTTTTTATAGTGAAATCAAGAACTGCACAACAGGCGAAGATGAAGTGGGTGGTGAACATTGTCTTTTATATTTTACAGGTAAGTTCATTTGCTGCTGTTGCACTAAAAACTGTGGTAGTACTTTTTTTTTTTTTTTTTTAACAAACCATTAATCAGGAAGTACATATTTACACATTATCCTCAACTGTAAACTGCTGCATGCCACAAACACTTCAGTACATAGAGACAGTTTGACACTGCACTGTGGTCTGATTTGTTTTTAAATTGTTGTATTTTCAATATTTTCCTTGTGGGAAATACTAAAGTTTATTATTTACAAAGAAAATGAGGTAATATACGTATTAACTGCTAACCTGGTATCTACCATCTGGTAGAACAGTGTGTATTGATATCACTTTGGGTTGTTGTTTTCAGGCCGCTCTGATGATCTCTCTCATATGGAAGTATTACTCTGACCCGGTCACTGTGGTCCCCAGTCGATGGATAGCTCCTGTGGAGCGTCTTGTTGCATTCCCCACTGGGGTGGCAGGTAACCAGTGTTTCTAAGCACCAAAATTACTATGTAAGTTTATATACCACAAATAAATGTTCTTTTCTTGTAGGTGGTGTGGGCATTACATGCTGGTTGGTAGTTTGTAACAAAGTAGTTACACTGGGTCTCAGTGCTGTGAGTTAAAAAGATTATTTTTACTCCTCACTGTTTTTGTTTTGTTTGTCTCCACTGGATCAAAAAAAAAATGAATATAGGCCTACTGACCTGAATGTTATGTGATGGTAAAATTATCTTGATTTTGTTTTGTAATTGATGTTATTTATTTCGTTACCTTTGAGTATTTCTTTTAATAAAAAATGAATAAATGTATGAATGCTCTGCTTATTGTAGTCACTCATCTCTGTTAGGTTTCACTGACATCACTACGATTACAACAGTTAGAATATGATTTACCTTTTATGTTGCATAACATGCTATACTTTTACACAGCCTTGAGGTATTCTCAAATAAAGTGTATATACTGTCTGTATGTAGAAACTAGCACCATCCAAACACCTCCGCTTCTCAGCCTGAAACTAAAGCCAGAGCCTTCTCTGATCAGCGCTCTTTCTACCCATATATGAACTGGGCCAGGCCTGGAGCCTCCTGTCGCCTGTGTCCTGGGCCGACAGACAGCTGAAGGTGCCAATCCGTGCGCCCGCTACAGAGCCACCAGGGGCCAACCAACCAACCGTGTCCTGATTGGTCTGCGGGGACAAAAATAGACCAAGGCCCTGCGTTTGTGTGTGCGTGCGCGCGTTCACTGGGCTATCTCAGCTCTGGTTGTGCTCTAATAATAGTCGAGGCCGCCTGCTCCTTTAAGATACCACTTGTTGCCCACAGTCTCCGAAATAATCGCAACAAAATGGTTATCAAGGTATTTCTCGCCACTTCATCGGGATCCACTGCGGTAAGCGTGCGTAATTGTGTTTCAGATTGGCCTTAAAGTAGCTTTGAAAGTTCGACTTGACGCGTCATGGTATAAAAGATCTGATCAACTTTGGAAAACACTGGAATGATATTTGATGCTCGTTTGTTGTTGAGTAGAAATCGTTGAGTCATTGTCCAAGTTGAGTTTCTAAAAGTTGTATTACCCTTGTAGAACTTTTGAAATGGGGCTCCAAAACTTTTAGCCTATAGACTACACACCCCATATGTGACGCCTCGAAGGTTCTCAGGGCTGTTACTAATCGTTTTCTTATTTCTCAAAAAACAAAAGCATACCGTGTTGGATATTCAAGGTGTGTTGGTGTCATCTTCCGCTCTTACAGCCAGCAAAAGCGTGTTATTTTGTTGAGAGATGTCATGGTTCTCTCTGGGTCACAGCCAGAGGGAGTCCTTTCATTAGTTAAGTGAATTAGGCGCAGTCCTCTCTCCTGACTGAGCTAATGTGGCTGCCAATTATAGACAGCAGGCCCTGCACAGTCCAACCTTTGCAAGATTTTATAGCCTGTTTGAATAGTTTAAGGTGATGGGTTGTACAGGAAATAGTTGTGGATCAAATCTGTATTCAGGTCTTTTACTGTTCAACTTTTGTGGCAAGACAAGAAAGTCCGGCTTTTTGTCTTTGTAAAGTAGCTTATTAAAGGGACTGTATAACTCAAAACTGACTATTGTGAACTTTAAGCCATGTTATAATGCTGTTAACTCATCAAAAACATACCTAGAGCAGTGTTTGTTATTAGTATGTCTACATTTCCAAAGCTCAAAATGCTCTGTTTCACCTTGCAATGTCATGAGGAGGAAATTTTCAAGTTAACAGCTTCTTTTTACCTTATGTTCAATAGAGACTGGTATTTACACGGCTGAAATTATTGAAATTAACCTAGTGAAAGTGTATGGAGTTCAAAAACACAAGACATCAAAAGGTGGAGCAGAGTGTTATCTGTTTGAGAGAAGAACTCAGCCTAAATATGCAGGGTGTGTGTGTTAAGCATGTGTGAATTAAACAAAGCACAACTCCAAGTATGTTTTTGATGAGGGGTCAACATTATAACAGATCAGAAAATAGTGTAATTGTAATATAGACCCTTTAAAAAGTGTGTAGCCTTGACTGATGACTGTTTGTCAGGACAAATGCAAGACAATATTAAGATAGACCTGCCTATGAATGTGTGGCATTGATGGTAGTGGATTGGAAGCTACACGACATATCAGGCTACATCAGTGAAAAGTTCAGACACATGACTCAATTAGTCAGACACCACTTGTACACACACAAACACACCTCTTTAAATGTCCTTTATAGGCAAAATTGTGAGCTTTAAACTATGTTAGAATGTTGCTACCTCATCAAAAACATCCCCAGAGTTGTGTTTTGTTTCTTTTGCACATGTTTGAGTAATCCTGGTTTATTAGTCTGTCTGCATCCAAAGCTCAAAATGCTCCCTTCCACCTTGTGATGTCATGAAGTGGTAGTTTTGCCAAATTCACAGCAACCTTTTAACTTTAATTCGGTGGAGGTTGGCAATTCCAGGTCTAAAATAATCCAAATTATTCTGGTGAAGGTGTATGGAGTTTAAGAACACAGTGGAGCACTTTCTGTATTGCCATGTGACTTCACAAGTAGGGGTGTGCAAAAATATTGAAATATTAATATATCGTATCATTTAATGTGATGATACGGTATGAGTATCATGGGCTGCTGTATCGATATATCACCAAGAGTATTTTTGGTATATTTTACTGAATTATTTTGTTACAGTGCTACAGATTTGTTGCTTGTTTAGTGGAAGAAAACTCATTTATGCGACACATTTGACATATTCACTGTTTTGATGATTAAAATGGGCGTGTTTCATATTAACTTTGCCCAAGAAGTGATTTAACGAAGACTTTTAGTATCACAGCCATGATTTTGCCATTATTTCCATAGTCGTAGTTTCCATAGCCATAGTCGATTTGAAATATATTGTATTGAATTATAAGCTCATTGTATCGAGATATGCATCATATCGGCAACTTCTTAATGATACCCAGTTCTATTCACATGGTGGGGTAGAGTGTTTTCAGATTTTGAGAGAAGAACTATGCATGATTTGTGTGTTAAACATGTGCAAATAAAACAAAACACAACTCCAGGTTTGTTTGTGATGAGGAAACAACATTATAACATGGATCAGACAACAGTGTAATGTAGTTCCTCTAATATAAACACACCTATACATCAGTGACTTGTACAGTCCCTGAAAAAAGTCATGTTGCTTATCCATTTTGTAGAAACAAAAGCTTATAACCTGACTTTAAATTAATCAGTTGGTTTTAGAAATGTCTCATATGAAAGCTAAAACCCTCCCAAATTATGTGCAATATACTAAAATAAATTTTCTTGAACACAGAAAGGTCAGATTTTGGCAAGACAAAAGTCTTGTCACCTTGTCATATGATGCACCCAATCCTAGATTACAGCCTCATCTGTGATCAGTTACTGATCAATCAATTAGTGGGTGTGTATAAAAAGAACCCCAGCACACCAGACCTTCACATCAACTGCAACTTGACCTCTGACAACATGCCTAAGATCCACCCTGAGACCAAAGCGTTAATTATCAAGAGGCTGAAGACCAGATCCACTGCTGAGGTGGCTGACACCTTCAATGTGTCTCAGTGTCAAGTACAAAGAATAAGAAAAAGATCTGAAATGACTGGAGATGTTTTTGACAAGCCCAGGTCCGGCAGACCCCGCAAGACAACTGCTCGGGAGGACCGTTTGTTGATTCGAAAATCCAAGGCCAGCCCCTTTTCCACTGCAGCAGACTCCACCAGGCCTGGTCACCTCAAGTCCCTGTGTCAACCAGAACAGTTTGTAGAATTCTGTCTCGAAATGGCCTCCATGGTCGAATCAGTGCACAGAAACCAGCACTAAACAAAAGGCAATTAAAAAACTGTGTGGCATTTGCCAAGGCCCACAGCCTGCTAAAAGGATGGACACTGGAAAAGTGGCAGAAGGTGGATTTCTCAGATGAATCCTCGGTTGAATTACATCACAGCCGCCGCAAATATTGCAGGAGACCTACTGGAACCCACACGGATCCAAGATTCACCCAGAAAACAGTTAAGTTTGGTGGCGGGAAAAATCATGGTCTGTATGGTGCTCCATCGCATACTTCTATCTCTACATCAAAGTTTCTCAAGGCGAAGAAGATCAAGGTGCTCCAGGACTGGCCAGCTCAGTCACCAGACATGAACATCATTGAGCATGTCTGGGGTAGAATGAAAGAGGAAGCATGGAAGGCAAAACCAAAGAATCTTGATGAACTCTGGGAGGCATGTAAGACTGCTTTCTGATGACTTCATCAACAAATTGTATGAATCATTGTCGAACCGCATGGATGTAGTCCTTGAAGCTCATGGAAGTCATACAAGATATTAAATATGGATCGCACAGCACCACTACTTTATTCACTGACGTTATGCAACATATTTTTGTATTTGAAGTAAATTATTTGTTCAATTTTCTGTAGGCGACAAAACTTTTGTCTTGCCAAAATCTGACCTTTCTGTGTTCATTAAATGATCAGTCTTTCTTCAGTGAAGCACATTTATTTTAGTATATTGAGCATAATTTGGGAGGGTTTTAGCTTTCATATGAGACATTTCTAAAACCAATCGATTAATTTAAAGTCAGGTTATAAGCTTTTGTTTCTACAAAATGGATAAGCGACAAGACTTTTGTCAGGGACTGTATAGACGAGTTTTGACATTGCAGATCAAGAAGAAGCAGCAGGATGTGGTGGGCTTCTTGGAGGCTCTTCACGTGGACTACACTCCTCTGGACATCGCCTGTAATGAGCAGAATCGCATGTGGATGAGGCAGAACGTCCCCGAGGAGAAGAAACCCACCAACGGCATCCCTCTTCCCCCTCAGATCTTCAACGATGACAGCTACTGTGGAGTGAGTGTGGACAATGCAAGCACACACATACTGTAGATGACAACACCATAACAAAATCTGTGTTAGTAGTTTCTACTTCTATTGGTGGTTTTCATTAAGTGTGCTTATGTCAAACTGTCAAGATGGGGAAAAGTGCCAGTTTTTCTTATTGATTACACTGTATTTTGCCATGATATACTGGAAAGGCAAATTCTCAAATATAAAACCTGATCATTTCTATTACTGATCAGACCCAAGACTATGCTATATTACAACAAGAATCTGCAGTTGAACAATAAAATTTTAGCAGCTTTTGTCTGTATTAAATGATGCTGGCCCATAGATTGTAGTGATGTGGTTTGTCTAACAAGGGAGGGTGTGGGCTAAGGAGATCAACACCCAACAATGTGTCAAGAAATATTAGGCAGCTTCTTTTCCTGAGGCAAAATGGGCCAAAAAGTGATTTAACTGAAAACTACTCAACTCAACTCAAAATTGTAAAAAGGCTTTCAGAGGGATGCAGTACAGAAAATTGTAAAGATAACAGTGTCGCAAGAAACGTGTGGGAATTAAAGACGAAAATGAATTGCAAGAGATTTGAGAAGAATCAAACATGAAGCTACCTGGAACCCATTATCCTCCAGACCTGCAACCTACCTGGAGTGCCCAGAAGGTGTTCACTGCTCAGAGACATGGCCAAGGTGAGGAAGGCTAAAACCTGACCATCACTGAACAAAAAAACAGTATGGACTGATGAGATGAGAGTGACTCTTGGCTGACCAGATGGATGGACCCGTGGCTGGATCAGTAATGGGCACAGAGCTCCACTTCGACTCAGACACCACCAAGGTGGAGGTGGGGTACTGGTATGGGCTGGTGTTATTAAAGGATAGCTTGTTAGACCTTTTCGGGTTGAAGATGAACTCAAAATGAACTCCAAAACCTACTGCCAGTTTTTAGAAGACACTTTCTTCAAACAGTTGCACAGGAAAAAGTCTGCTTCTTTCAAGAGAACAATGATTTTTATGCAGGACAATGCTCACATGCTCAAAGTACTCCAGAGCATTACAGATGAAAAAATAATGACATGGCCCCTTTCTTACCTGAACTAAACCCTACTGAGAACTTGTGGGCCCTTCTTAAATGTGAAATTTACGGTGAAGGAAAACAGTACATGTCTCTGAACAGTGTCTTTGAGGCTGTGGTTGCTGCTGCGCAAAAAATTGATCGTTAACAGATGAAGAAGCTGACAGACTCCATGAAGGGAAGGCTTAGGGCCATTATTGAGAAGAAGGGTGGCTATATTGGTCACAGATTTTTTTTTTTAAATGTCAGAAATGTTTATTTGTAAATTTTGAGGTGTTGACTATTCTGACAGATGAAAATAAACAAGTGCATAATAATTCCTCATATTAATAGTTGCCCAATAATTGTGCACACATAGATTTTCTCCTAAGAAAGCCAAAAATTCACTTTTACTTTCTTAAATATTCAGGTTTGAGGTTTATTAACATTTTGGATTGACCAAGAGCACTTGCCTAATATTTATGCTCACAGTACTTTACTACTTTTACTTTGTTACATTCCACCACTGATATGAGTCGATGTAGTATTTATCATGACAGGCCTATGCACACATCTGTTATCTTTAGTTTATGACTTTATTGTTTATTTGCTGAGTAATATTTCCCATTATTACAACTATTACCTTCATTTCCTGGGCAGGATTATGAGACGTTCTTCGATGCCAAAGAGGACAACACAGTGTATGCTTTCCTGGGTCTCGCACCTCCTCCCGGATCAAAGGTAAAACACATTTTCCTGATTGAGAACAGCTGGATCTGTGTTTTACAGTGAAAGTGAGTACGAAACGTCATTCAGGGGTGGATGAAATACTCTATTTTGTTACTTAAGTAAAAGTATAGATACTGGAGCAAATAAATACTCAAGTAAAAATAAATGTGTGACATGAAAAAATCTACTTACGGTAATAAAAATGATTAGTACCTATTTTGAAATGTACTAAAAGAGTAAAAAGTGAAAGTATTTTGCTCATATTTTGAGATCTTATAAGGCTTCAAATGTAGTGATTTTGATAAATGTTTTTTACAGGATTTTGAAAAAACAGAAAAAATTGAATTGATTTGAATTGACAGTTTTTTTTTTCCAGTTGTTTTTATTTGTATATTTGTATATATTGTTTGGTGTTAAAAATAAACCCTCAACCTTTTCAGCAGGTCTCATCATCATCATAAAAATACTTTTCAGCCCTGTTCAAAAATGCAGTATGTTAGAAAGTACTGATGCCTTCTCTAAATTTAGTAAAATAAAAGTAAAATGTATCCACTTTAAAATGTACTTAAGTAAAGCACAGATATCTTTTTTTTTTTTTTTTTATTAATTACAGTCCTTTATTACTTTTACTTTGTTACGTTCCACCATTGACATCACTGGCAAATTTCTCAGACTGATGGTGTGTCAGTCCAACAGCTTTTACTAGTAATGGACTTAATTCTGACCCAGTTTTCTTGGCACAGGAAGCAGAGCAAGAGAAGAAGGCTCTCATAGTGGAGAATGGGACTCATGCAGATGACAGTAAAACAGACGGAGCTCCAGATGATTCACTAGTAACGCTTTTCTTACTTTATTATTTCTCTTGCAGTTCATTTCCCGTCCTTCTCCACCTAACAGTTTTTCCTCATCTTCGTTTCATGTTTTTGCATGTCACCACAGCATTAATAGATACCTTTTTGTGTAATCCTGTGTTAAATTAATCACTTTAATGATAGATACAGACATGCACATCCAGTAAAAGTTGTTACTGCGTGCTTGGTCCAAAGGCAAAAATTGTGCAAAAGAAGATCACTGCAGTTCTTTAAAGCTCCTAATTTTTTATTTTAATGACACCAAAATGTGACGTTTCAGATCAAGCCCTTTTTCAGACATGACATGTGAAGATGGGCTTGAGCGAGAGAACTGCAGTGTGGATCTCTTTCTTCTTTTGCAAAATTAATCCTAAAAACCAGTGTAGCTCCAAAACGAGAGATGGACAGATAATGATTGGCTGATATAGCAGGCCCGTATTTGCTTTTTTTGCGTAAATTTCCAGTACAAGCCAGTATTTGTTTTGGCCGACCATCTGCCAAAAGAATCCACACAAAGCTGTATTTGAACACTTAAGTGCAAAGAGATAATTGCACAGAACATGACTACACAGCTCTCTTAAAGGTTTGTGGTTAAAAAAAAAAAGGACTTTGGAGAATCCATCAGATGCTTTTCAACATGGAGATGTTATTGCTTCATCTGGAATGTTTGACTGTATGGTATTAAACCTTTCTATCTTCATGGAAACCAAACCAGACCAAACTGCAGGCCAGATCTGTAGAGAGGCCACTTCACTCAAAGTCAGGAAGCCTGTTTTTTCTAGGTATTTTTGAGCTGTAAAACCACCTATAATTGAATAAATGTAAGGTAGAGTTGTTTAATGTCATACTGTGGAACATTCCAGGCAAAGCAATGACAGATCCATAGAAACAAGCAGGTGACGGTCCCCCAACTAAAAAAGATACATGCACCTGTAACCCAAATATTTGTGATGCCGACTGTCACAAATATACGACAAATTAAGTTCAAGATATAAATCGAGATAGCAGCAGCATTACCCCAATGCAGGTTAGTGCATATGCAGAACCTTCCCAGGAACCTTTGGCAAGCATTTGTTTATAGTTGTTGCAAATTTGCAACATACCCCAATTTCTTTATTAAATTATTTTTTTTGTTATAGTTAAATTAATAATACCAATTTCATTTACCATCTACTTAAAAACTCACACAAAACATTTTTATATGCATCTATATAAATACAGGCATTAAGGGGTTACATTTAAATGACATTTTGGGGAAAATGATCTAAATCAGCCCTAAATATCGACAGAGCTTATCGGTCATCGGTTGCTTTGGATTCTAAATAATCAGTATCACCATCAGCCATGAAAAAAAGAATATCAGTCGATCTCTAGTCACTGCATCCCATCACTGTTATAGCAGTAGGAATTCATTTCTAAAAGGTACTATAGATCAGTGTTTTCCAAACTTTTTTTTCTGGGGACACATATTTTAAAAGTCACAAACCTTCGCGACCCAAGTCAATAGACATTATTCATAAATCACAAAATAAAGGTGGATTTGACCATTATTGAACATTAATAAGGATATTTTATTGTTGAATGATCATGTCTTTCTGAACAATTAGTATTACTCAAGTTTTAAACAATGAAAAACAGTCATTGAACCAGCAATAAAAGGATCCATAAGTCGCCTGTTTGGATATGAAATGTAGCCCATTTCTTTTTCTTCTCAACATTCAATTGAACTAGCAATACTGGAACAAAATAGTCAACAAAATAATTACAAAAAGATTAGAAATTATACAAAACGTCTTAACATTTCAGCATGTGTCAGAACTGTATGTTACAGACCTGCGTGCAGATCGTAACAAGGCAATCCAAAAAAAAAAACTCTTATGACCCACCCTTTCGGAAACAAAGTAGTAGATTATTGACCAGACTATTACACAGTGTTATCAAAGCAACATTCTTTGGTCATAACTTTTCACCCAAAACACATTTATTATACTGTTCCATAACCATGTATAAAAAGTTACATAGTGTTGTTTTAAATTTGGATTGCTGTGTGATACATACAGTTTTATGGTCATTGTTCCTTCAAAATATGAACTTGTCTAAAACCATTCATTGTTTTTTCTACCACCCTCTGTCAAGTAACTAAACTAAAATTTCCCTCCCATCTTTGTCATGCAGTTTTGGAGACTCATAATATTGGCATTGATGTTTATAATTGTGTTTTGCTTACAACTTATTTTCTCCAAATGACAATAAGGAGGTGCCAGTGGAGGAACGCAATGGAAAAGCCCACGGAGAGGAGGAGCAGGCAGAGGATGGAGAGGCTGGGGAGGAGGAGGAGGAGGAGGGGGAGAAGGAAGCAGAAGGAGATGAAGAAGAGGAATCAGAAGAACAGACAGAGGTCACAGAGGACACAGTAATGCCGCCCATCTCCATCCATCTTTCCTTCTCCTTCCGTCAAGTCTGAATGCGTTTGAATGTATCCCACGTCTCTAAAGCAGTCGTTTCTTTTCCCTGTCTAATTCTTCCACAACATTCCCAGTTTTCCTCCTTTTCTAGATTCATTTGCAACATTCCTCTTGTCCTGAGTCTCCTCTAGTTCTCCCTGGATATACTAACTGTCATGCTCCCGTGTGTTTTCCTTATCAAATTTGGTGTTAATTTTCATTAACATGTTTATATTGTGTTTCTTCCTGAATGATTGTGTTTTCAAATTCCACTGCATCACCTACATCTTCCACTCATTCCTTTTTGTTTATATGAACATGCCTCTCCTGCTTTATCTGAATCTCTAAATCTCTAAAGTGTGCACTTATTTCTTTTTCATTTTCACAAAGCACCAGATATAATCGACAACAGTGTCTCTGCATTATGCTTGTGTCGCATTCTGTATGTATTTGATTGTGAAATGTATTTCCCCTTGTCTTTTTCTCAAACATAAGAGACATCTTCACCGTTTACTAACATAAGCAACATTCCTGTGATTTCCATCTCTTCCCCTGACCCATATACTCTATACACTATACATATTAACTGTTCTGCTCTGAAGGATCCCTTACATGCTCCATTTTTATGTGTGACATGTTTTCTCCCTGTGCAGTTAGTGACACTTTCTTGTTCTTTCTTTCAGCAAGCCGCAGCAGAGGAGGAGGGTCAGGTGAGCATCCACATGTATATACAATGATAAATGAATGACTGACATCTATATGACCACAACGTGGCACCTTTTTCACTTTAGATTAGATTAGTTTGAACAATGCAGAGAAAACATTGCATTCATTATATTTTATTGTCTCTTTTAACAGGAAGTAGAGGTAAGACCGTTTACCCCAGCACATGCCCTGCACAAAACTGTTCCTCTGTGTGTTCACCCTATACAGTTTAATATTTCCATTTCTCTTATCAAAATATTCAGAGAGCATGTAAAATTAGTGCAGTGGTTCTAAATAGGCAGGTTTTAGATCAAAGATGTCGGTCATGGGGAATATGCATGAAATGCATGAGTATTTTACATAACAACCTTGTTAAAGTGATCATGTAAAAAGTGGGGCATGGTCAGAGCGGTTAGGAACCACTGCTTTAGTGAATGCTGTTTCTTTCTTTCTTTAGAGTCAGTTTATCACGCTAACAGTTTTTAGTTACTGTGGTTGAAGTTGAACGTGATGCATCCTCCTCATGATTTCTCTCACCCACATTTCTCTCTGTAGATGCCCCATGGGATTTTGAAACTCTTATTACCACCTGTAGTTTGCACTGTTTAACTGTAGGTGGCCCTCTAACATGTGTGTGCCTCTTTCTTCACAAAGCAGCCCTTGTGATGGGAATGCATAGCACAGTATGTACCAAGTCACACCACAGCCGTTTACTGATGAATGATAACAGCAGTCTCTCAAACCCACTATAGTGCACAGATTAACAGCTGTTTGAGTGTCACATAATCCCATTCACATATCTGACTCTTCTCATGGCTCCTCCTGCACTTATATTGCACTCTGTGTGAGTTTGGCCTTTTTTCCATCTCTTGATTTGCTCCCACAGGAGGAAGAGGAGTTGCATTCAGAGGTAACCGCGTGGCGGAAGTCCCCTATAGTCTCCAGACCTATGGGTTTGCTGGTGCAGTCCTCACTTTGGGCTGATCTCTCTTTTCTTTCTCTTATTCTCTGTACTCCAGTCCACACCTTTCACATCATCACATTGTCACTCGTTCTCCCTCTATCTCCCTCTTCTTCCCTCCTTGCTAACAACCTCTCATTTGTTCCCAGTTCTGTCGCTGCCTCCTGACCTCCTCCACTATACTTTCTGTAACAACTCACCACAGTGTGTAGTGCATGCCTTTTCCTGCCCGTTGTGCATCCTCACAGCTGGCTGACCTGCTCTCTGTCTGCCCCCCAGGAGGAAGAAGAGCTGCTGGAGCTTGAGGTAGATTGTCCTGACCCAGTATTTTGAGCATTCTATATCTTTCATTCTTTTACAGATTGCATTGGGTTAGATAAACTGTAACTCTGCACCTGACAGCGACACCACACACATTTCTGATAGTACTTTATGTAGAAGTACAGGCTGGTTGAGTAAGTACTGTAGATGTCTTAGAGTCCTGCCATGGCACAGAGTTGTTTTAGACCGGATCACATGTATGTACTTGTAAGACTGCATGAGGGTTTGCTCAAAGTATGTGTGCTCATTATTTACATCTGACCTTTAGTGTCAACAGTGGAATTTATCTATGAAGCCGTAAAGTGCATTTCAGAACACGCTACAGACCGCAAAATTATGATAAGATTATGTGTACTTTTACTTTACTCTCTATTTAAGTAAGGCATATTAACAGTCTCTTTGATTTTCCACAAACATAAAATGACAGTAATAGTAGCTAGTTTTAATAGATATAAAATAATAAGATATTTAAAAAAATGACAAATATAAAATGGCTACAACTTAAATGTCAAACCGGAGCTATTCGCAGTGGTAAAAACAGCCTGCATAGTCTCATGATATTTGCAGTACCGAACCAGGACTGAACTAGGACTAAACCAGGTCTAAAACAGGACTAAAACAGGATTAAAACAGGTCTAAACCAGGACTAAACCAGAACTAAATCAGGACTGAGGGTCAGGACGGGCCCAGAGTTGCCTGGTTTAGACCTGGTTTAGACCTGGTTCAGTCCTGGTTTAATCCTAGTTTAGGCCTGGTTTAGTCCTGGTTTAGTCCTGATGTAGACCTGGTGCAGTCCTGGTGTATTCCTGGTTTAGACCTAGTTTAGACCTGGTTTAGACCTGGTTTAGAATGGTGCAGTCCTGGTGTAGTCCTGGTTTAGACCTGGTTTAGACCAGGTTTAGACCTTGCTTAGTCCTGGTTTAGTCCTCCTGGTTCTGTCACGACTCACGTACCGCCACTTCAAAAATCCCCACTACCCCACTGTCCACAAGGGAAATTATCTGGACACAGTATCTCACATATCACAATTTATTATAATAACAAAGAGCAAAAATATTAATGGTAATCAAAAATTCCACATAAGTAGTAAAAATAATAAGAGACTGGGATCATAATTATAATTATATAAATGCATATGTACAAGTGCAAATAAAATATAGAAATATAGTAATACAACCATAATTGGGCTATATACAAGAGGTGGGAGTAGGGTTATTGTACCGTTGTATAGAGTATGGTATGGCTGTAGTTCTGTATATTCTCACTGTTTGAGAGACGTCGGAGCCTATTCAGCATGTAGAGCTCTACAGCCTAAAAGGTAGAGGTTTTTAGATCACTGGCATCCCTGATTGCAGTTACATCTGATCAGATGTTTGATGACTTTTCACACAATGTTCACAGTTGATATTTTTATTTTCCTTTCCTATCAAATCCTAAAAAAGCTGTCGATATATAATGCGCCTACCTTAATTTGACAATCACTATCGAAGTATACATATATATAACTTTGTGGTTTATAGAGTTTGAGAAATATTGGTTTGAATGAAAATGCAATTTAATTTAGTTGATTGAGAGCTCCATTAGCAGCTTAATAATCAGTCACTCTTTTACTTGTATAGTTATTGGTTACCACAAAGCTGATAAGTCCGTATCGAGCTTAAAGGTTCATTGTGTAACTTTTCTGGTGGAGGGTCCTTCAGCTGCTTTTTATCCTTTGTCTGAAATGTTTTAAACCTTTCTATCTTCATGGAGACCAATCCAGATACAGTTACAGGTCAGATCTGTGGAAAAGGAACCCCGCTCACAGTCAGAATGTCTGTTTTTCTAGGTATTTTCAAGCTGTAAAACCACCTATAATTGTGTAAATGCAAGGTAGAAATGTTTAATGTCATACTGTGGAACATTCCAGACAGAGCAATGACATATATAGAAGCAAGCAGGAGATGGACCCTCCACCAAAAAGTTACATAGTCCACCTTTTAAAGTGGAACTGAACACCAAACCCACTCTTTTCACTAGTAAACTGTACAAATTGTGTTTTAATAGCATTGTGTACTGTTCATAGTCTTTTTTTTTTTTTAGAAATTACAGTGCAAACCAGGTACATTTGCAGCTTTCTGGTCAAAAACACCTAAATCTAAGTTTGTGCTGCTTTCAGTGACCGCTGCGATTTCCAGTAGTTGGTGACATCGCAAAACGCTGTCCTGATTACATCCAGATGTTTCTAATTGCAAAAACCTGGCTATAGGAGCAGGGTTTAAAGTGTGGATACCTATTAGTCCAATTACAGTGTTCCTTATACCTCTAGACTCCGCCCCTCTTTCCCCCCCTCAGTCTTTTCTTTAGTCCTGCAAGGCCTCGTCTCATTTCTCTTACCTCGATTCCTTCTCCTTGATTCCTATCTTCAATCCTCCATGTTTCAGCTGTCAATCACGGAAAGAAGGAGTAAACCTGAGGGAGGCTTCAGGAGGCGAAATCAGGCAAAATAATGAGACTTTATTGGTTTCAGTGAGGAGTTTAGAGCCTCTCTCCTCGGTTGTCTTCTCTGTGGGTGGGACTTCCTCACCCATTTCCTGCAGAATCGAAGAGAAGGAAGTGAGGAAATAGAAATGAGATGCAGCCCAGGTACTGCCCAGTTTAGCAGCCGTATTTGAAATGCGTTTTGCTGTTTAGTCCCGCTTCAATATGGTGGACAACATATGTAAATATATGTTATAAGACATTTTCTGAACATGAAAACACTGTGTGAAAAGTAAATGTATTGAAACATTCCAAATGCCTGCTTTGCTTTGCCTTTTGCCTTGAGGTCCATCTGTGTGTGTCCATTTCTTTTACAGGAAGACGACCAAGGCAGCCAGGTACTTTTTTCATCTCTCCTCATTCTCTCCTTTCTCTGTCTTTGCATGTTCTGTTCATTCTTTTCCACATAGACACTCGGCCCAGTACACAGCATGAAACTAGTAACCATTTTTCTTATACATCAGCTCAATTCACCGTGGTCACTGTTCCAGACACAAGCCTTCCTGTAAACCTGTATAGATTTTGTCTTTACCCGATTATTTATTTTCTATAGGACGAAGAAGAGGCAGAAGGACAAGAGGTGGGATGGGTGAATTTGTTGAGCATGGTTTGAAGTCAAACCCTTGAAATCCCTGTTTGGACATTGGTCGCATGGAGATTTTAAATTCATGTGTGTTACCCCTAAACATGTGGGTCCCATTGGTTTTTGTTTTTCCTTGATGCAGCTATTGAAGTCTGAGCATCTTGTAAAACGTTCTGGAGATTTTATTTGGTGTATTTGCTGTTAAGAGCATTTATCTATTGCAAGTTCGTGTCCGATATTATGGCCATGTGGGTCTTGCATTTGAATTGTATATTTCTTCTTGTAGTATCAGTGTTATAGCCACAGTGAAGTCTGTCTTGCTTGAGCTGTTAGTCGACCATGAGTTGTGTGCATATTGGGCATGGGACGATGCTGAAATTTGGTGTCACGATTATCATGGCCAAAAAAACTGCGATTTACGATTATATCACTATTAAAATTAAGCTGACAGTTAAAAAATGTTACGGCTTTGAATAATTAGAATTTTAATATTATGAATGGGTTTCATATTGAAACAACTATTCTACTTTGCTGTCAGTCAAAGCAGCAATGATCTAGAACAGACATGTCAAACTCAGGGCCGGGGGACAAATTTGGCTTGCAATTTTATATCAAATATGTGTTAGAGCTGGCCCGCCGGCTACAGATAGTCTATAAAGACATTATTTATTTACAATTTTGTTATTATTTTATATTATGCTTGTTCTGGATTCAATGTTTAAGCAAAACTATTATTAAACATTTATTTTAATAAGAAAAGGTTTAACATTACATATCACGAAAGAAGAGAAAACATGCAGATGTTGTTGAAATTTTTCAGTTAATACTTAGCTTGGCCCATGACTTAGTCCCGGTTTTTGATTTTGGCCCTCTATGAATTTGAGTTTGACACCCCTGATCTAGAAGAAAACGTCATGGATTCTGTTGATAAAATGGCTATTATTTGTGTTGGCGATTATCAAAATTATACAAAATGTCCCTTTTTATCATGATAAATGATATTATTGTTTATCGTCCCATCCCTACTGTGCACATTAGCATAAATGGGACTTGTTTTGACTTTGAATGTTGAGATGCAGTGACCTGAGAGACAGGGCAGGAATGTAAAAGAAACACAAGACCACATAATGTGCACATAGCGAGACTATTACATTTCAGGGTGAGAGACGGTGAACATTTTAAGGATGTGTTTGTTTATTTTCTATTTTGAAAATGCCTAATGCCCCTCAATTAAACATTAAATACATAGATTTATGTGAGAAAATGGCATTTTAAGAGCATTTTTAAACTCACAAAGATAAAAAGTCACAGATCTTCCCCATTTAAATGAAGGAGTGCCAGACTAAAGTATTATATTTTTTATAAAAACGTAAATATGAATGAATATATTGATTTTACATTGATAAATTACTTTTATTTCTCCTGTAATATTGAATATTTGAATTATTAATATATACAGAAGTCAGTTCAGTCACCTGTAAAAAGCATTTTGCATTTTTCAGGTGTCAGTTTTTGACAGCTTGACAGTTTGTTTTAGTTTTTTTAACCTACAAAACATATAATTTACAATACAAAAACAGTTCTCTACAAGATAAGTTTGCAGTGATCAAATATCTTATCACCTTAAATCAGGGGTCACTAACCTGCATCTCTCCACCCCTTCCCAAAAAGAAAAGTTCACCAAAGGATATAGGAATCCTGAATATGCCACTGAATAATTCAATTGTGATTCATCATATGCCTTTTATTGTGATAAAAGTATGACTTGGATTTCTATCTTTGCATATTGATACACAGATTGTTTTTGAAAAGGGATAGCTCTCTGCCTTTTGTTGTTGCAAACGCTCACCCCTGGGGAAAAACTTGAAGACCCCTGCCTTAAATCAGTGTATTTGTACAGCTTGTATTTTAGATGAACTCGAGATAGCTTGAGTTAGTAAACACTTAACGTCATCCTAGGACACGTCTGAGTGGATATTTGGGGCCGCCGCTGATCTCTGACCCACCACCAGCTGCTCCTCCTTCACCTCCATTTTTAACTGTCCTCACAAATTCTTCTCACCTCCCTGCCACGTCGCCTTCACTCCAGATCATTATCAGAGGCATCAGCTGTGAATGAAGCCCCTTTAAAACGCATCTTTCCTCCATTTTTCTTCCCCATTTTTGTGTTTAAGAGGGATGTAACAATAACTGAAATATTGTGAAATCGTACTTAAACAATATTGGTTGTCATAATGTATCGAATTACAAGTCTTTTTCGCTTAAATTCATTTTTATGGTGCTGCTAAAAAACAGAGAACTGCATAGACCATGACCCTTTGCTCTGTTTCAGTACAATCTACATGCTGAAATAATTGTTCTTAAGCACTTTTCAATCTTAATTATTTGGATTATGGTGAGAAAAAAGTAGCATATTCACAGTTTTCGAGACTATCAAGAGATTTGGATATCGTTACATCCCTAGTGTTTATTGATTACAGTAAAAAATAATTTGTGAGAAGTCTGAATTTGTTGTGTTGTTTTGCAGGAGGAAGCGGCTGAGTAGTTGTGACCAGGAGGTGAATGGGATTTAGACTGACTACTGCCCAGGTAAAAAGAGCAGAAATGTAAAACTAGAAAACAACAATACATAAATGAAATGAGTCTATGTGCCTATTTTACCTGCTACAGCTGAACGATTTTGGTGAAAAAATAGAAATGGAAAAAGTATAACATTTGCATTTTGTGATTTAGGTTTTAAAATTTGAATTTGAAAAATGAATATAATGACAAAAAATAAGAGCAAATCAATCATATAAAATCTGATACATAAACATGATAAGAAAAAAGAAGGAAAGACATAAGAATTACACATGAAAAGTACGTTTATGAACATGTGGTAGAACTATGAAGTTAGTGAAGTATAAGTTTATTTGTAGTAATTATGTGCACTTGGTCACCTTAAGAAAAGTTGGGTTTGAAAGTCAAATTAAATTTGCTAAAAAGTCTCAGCCATTGCAAAGTACGTTTTACTTTTCAGTCCAGTTAAAAAATGTAGTGGAGTAGAAAGTACACATTCTCAAATGTAGTAAAAGTAAAAAGTATTCACTGTAAAATATACTTAAGTAAAGTACAGATACCTCAGATTTGTACTTAGGTTATCAAATAGATAAATTCACAAATGTTGAATCTGATCATTTCTATTAGTAAGTAGACCCTAGTATTCTATATATAACAAGCTACACACAAACTATAAAACAACACAAATCTGAATTTTAACAATATTAATTTTATCTGCCCCGATCTGTATTAAATATTTTGACCTATAGAAGCTGTGATGTCATCTTAAACCCAATAGTATTCTTGTTATTCTTGGAGTCTGACATCTTACATTTAATTGGTGTTTTTGCAGTTTTTCTTTATGTATATGTTTTACTTTATATATGTTTGGAGAGATGTTATTCCATATAGCCTGTGCAATCACAGAGGAAGTTAGGAAACAAGAACAAGAGACATTTGTTTACTATAAGTACAGAAGTGGGCCTACAGAGATACAGGCAGCCACAGGTAATCAACACAGTATTTATAATGTAGCACAGTTACATTAATCCATTAGTTATTATAATTAAGTTAATTGTCAATAGTGTTCTTGCCCATAGACTGTATTTTAGTTAGTAGTATATTAGGTTATCATATTTTATTAGCATTATTGTATTTATTATTATTAAGATATTATGAAAATGAACATATTTATTGAAATAGCTTTTATTTGTTTTAGGGCTGATAATCACTTTTCATATTGCAGACGATGACATATTTACTATAATTAAGTGAATCTTTATCATTGATCATGTTTTTGCCAATAGACTGTATTTTAATGGTATTAAAACAAAACATATTCTATTATATGAGGTTATATTTTATTTTTATTTTTGTTATTATTATTATTATTATTATTAAGATATTGGTTTGAAATAGTTTTTATTTGTTTTAGGGCTGTGAATCACTTTTCACATTGCAGAAGCTGAGATTTTTTTGCATTTAGTTGTAATACTCTGATCGTCCACTGGATGGCAGTGTAGTGTAAAGCAGCAGGGACATTCATAACAGCGTTCGCTCTTCTGTATGTTTAAATATAACACAAATCATTTATGTGAGCAGATTAATTAAAATGATAAGGGTGCATTGAGGTTAGAGCTTTTGTGTGGCGCTTTGACCCTTCTTTTCCATCACACATGCTTCTATTATCACAACATACAATTATTGTCTTTATGGGCTTTATCTGTAAATGGAAAACAGCACAGAGCCTGGTCTTATTACACTGCATGTAGGATGTATCAATCAGCTTCACCTTGCATATCCTTGTTTACTGTATCTTTGCATTCTGAAGCAGTGAGCACAGTAATACCTTTGTTATTATTAGTTACAAAACAATTACTTTTTTTTTTTTTTTTTGGATTATTGTCAGCCTTGAAAAAAGTAGGGAGATGTTGTCGTGTACAACCCAGGGATCTTTCTCCAATGCTATGTACTGCCATTTGCTATACTGAAATACTGTATCCTGATTCATTAGCCAGTTTCACTTCGAGGAAACCGTCTGACCTCGCAGCATTAGGATTCATTCGCTCGACAGTAGGCGGGCACTTTTTTATTTAACCAATCACTGTTATTTGGTTGTGACGTATGTAATGTGATGATCATGAGGCTAACTGGTATATTAAGCTTTTCCCAAATTTAGTAGGAAGAAGGGCAATAACGTCTTTCCCCTTGATAAAATTCACCAAACATTCTCTTTCTTCCGACTTTAAATCCTCGATCTCAGGAATCGTTGCCAACACAGAATGTATGGCTCTTCACTGATTGGCCGGTGCCCGGACTCGCACCTCCAGGGTTATTGCAAACCGTAGTGTATTCTGATTCCTGACCTGGTCGCTGGAGAGAAAGGAAATTGAGCGGAGGCACTAGGTTGCGTCAGCCTGGCTAGAAATACAGGCCCGTTGACAGAAATTTGGGGACCCGCGGCAAGAAGCCAAACATGGACCCTCCTCTCATATACATTTATAGGAAGATGGTTAGATTCTAGGCCTGAAACCCTGGGGCCCGGCACAACAGACCCTTTTGGTCCCCCAACCCCCTTTTTCCCATCCACTGAAATATAGAACACATAGGTACATCCATACGTTTGTCCTGGTTAGAATCTATAGTGTGGTGGTCCTGATGTAGATTTAGTTTGGTCCTGTTCTTGTTTCTATGGATATGTCATTGTCTTCCCTGGAATGTTCCACAGTATGACAGCTCTACCATACATTTATGCAATTGCAGATGGTTTTAAAGCCCAAATATCCAGAGAAAACAAGTATTCTGACTGTGAGTGGGGTCGCCTCTCTACAGATCTGACCTGTAACCTGTCTGGTTTGATTTCCATGAAGATAGAAAGGTTTAATATCCAGACAACACAATAAGATTTGCATGGACAAAAGATTCTGATGGACACAGTATACCTTAAAATAAAGTACAGATACCTAAAATTTCTACTTAAGTACAGTACTTTACTACTTGTACTTCACTACCTTCCACCACTGATTACTCGTACATCAGTGACATAACCACAACAGATGCATGTACTTTTTTTTTGCTCCTTAGAGGCAAGTGATGTCAATACTAATAAAGCTAATCTGAATCTTTAGCTTTAGCCTTGTTTCTGATCTCAGTGGGCCCGGCCAGCCCCCCCTGAGCTTCTGTCAGTCTGTGTTATGAGAAGCTGCTAAGTGATCCTCACATGTGCCTCGGAGATGGGGGCGATTTGGGCTGCACGGGCAAAGCAGAGGTGCTGGTGGGGCTGCTTCTGCCACTAGACTCACTTTAGGGAGATATTGCTTTAATCTGTGTTAGACTGTGGACATGTGTGACCTAGTTTTGTCTGTTGCTTATGTGAATGACGTAAATGGAAATATACAAATCATATACTCATACATACAAGACAATTCTTAAAGGTCCTATATTACGCAAAATTGACTCTTTTGAGCTTTAAGCCATGTTAAAATGTTGTTACCTCATCAAAACAGACCTGGAGTTGTGTTTTGTTTCAGTCACACATGTTTGAGTAATATTTTATTATTAATCTGTCTTTTCCAAAGATCAAAATGCTCTGTTCCACCTTGTAATGTCTTTTGTTCAGTGGAGATCGGCAATTCCAGGGCTGAAACTGTCCAAAATATTGTAGTGAAGGTGTGTGGAGTTTAAAAACACAGTGGAGCACTTTCTGTATTCTCACATGACAAGGTGGAACAGTGTTTTCTGCTTGAGAGAAGAACACGACCTAAATATGCAGGGTTTGTGTGTTAAAGAAAAGAAACAAAACACAACTCCAGGTCTGTTATTGATGTGGAAACAACATTAGAGCATAGATGTGTAATATGGGCGCTTTAAGATTTACAAAAGGTGAGACAGTATGCGTGCATGGTGGTTTAGTAGTTACTTTGTTTACCTCACTGCCTCTGTTTAGACGTGCCGCTTTTCCAAGACTTTTTAGTATCGCTATTCCGACATATCATCCGTCATACATGGTGTTCTCTGCAGATCTCCTACATGACGAAATGAATGAAGCACAAAGGACCCATGCAGTCTCTGTTTTAGATTACATATTTTCCCGACGGCTGGCCTATGCTCTTTTTTTAAAATGCATGACTGTTTCCCACGGTGATCAGTTAGAACTACGTTGCTGAAGTATTCTCTGATCCAAGTTCTTTGCACCAGCTCAAGTATCTTATGATATGTGAGCGCGCAAAGTATAATAGGCTATCATATTAATATTATTCAAGCTGGAAAAGCGGAATGTTTGAAAAATAGTTAAGTGCCGCTACTCTAACAAGGAAAAAAAAAACGTTTAAGGCTACGTTTATATGATGATGGTCTGAACAGAAGACGCAAAAGTGGCATCGCATCTTCACTTTTTATTACATGTTTAGACGAGCATTTTTTGGAGGAAATCTGTGTGTATACGGTGACGCAAAAGTGTGTGGAATTTGATTGAGTATGTATGCCAGCCGGCTAGGTGGTGATGTATGTGACATAAATGCATTTTTTGATTGAAATCTTATACTTTTACTTGTTTCTATTGTATTCATTTTATTATATTTATTTATTTTAGGCATATTTTTTGATGATTTCCAGTGTTTCCTCTATAGGAGCCCTCTGCATCAGGAGTGGAGGTCGACTGTGGCTGTCGGGGTCTGTCCCGTGGGCTGCTGGTGGAGAGTTGGTGCTTGGGCTTCATCTCTCCCCTGGGCCCTGTGGTGGTTCCTGATGGCGGTGGACATCTCTGCTCCTGATGTAGACGACTCCTCTGATGGTGCTTTCTCAACTGGTTTGCCTGTATTCAGCCTCACGTTTTACTATGTCCGGTTTTATGTATTTTAGCATGTTAATGTGTGTGTGTGAGTGTGTGTGTGCTTGTTTGTGCATGTGTGTGTCTGGTTGTTTGGTTGTGTGGGGTCAGGCAGGTGTGGGGGTTGGGTAAGTGGGTGGGTGGATGGAAATGTGGGATTGTTTTTAATCACTGTAAAGCACTTTGTATTACATTTTGATTGTCTGATACTCAACGTGAGCAGACCTGGCCAGAGTTTTGCGTCTTGGGCAGTGTAGACGGTGGAGCATATTCAACTTTTCCACTCTTCTTTCAGATTTTTGCATCACTGTCTAAACGAAAGGCACTTCCGATAAAATATAATGTCATTTTTACCCGCAACCGTTCTCGTTTAAACAGGCCTTAAGTAGTGGGACGCTTGAAAAATAATGTTTTTGCTGCTACTCCGACAATTAGATGTAAATGTCTAAATAGCTGCATGTCGGAATAGCAGCACGTAACCATCTGGAAAAATGAAAGAGAGACAAATAGCAGTTATAGTTATAGCAGCTCAACTTTATTTACTTTATTTACAACTTTTCTGTGTTTCCATTTTCAGCCCGATGGATCTGACCACACCCACCGACCCCACCCACCCACCTAACCCCGCCCCTTCCTGTTTGCTGGACCCCACTGGATGCAGCCGATCAAGAGATGTGTGAATTCATTGTCCATTTGTGCCGCGTTCTACTGCTTTGTTGACTTAATTTTTATATTTTCTGTGAACATGCTGTAATATGCAGAGACTGGTGACGTTGTCATTTAGTATTTTTTAATGTGCATTATTTTTCAAAACACTGCCACATCTTTTAACACATTATCTGATTTACATGGCAACCCTGAGCTACGGTAAATGTCTGAAGTGGTCATCTCGTCTCCTGCTAAATTAAACTAGGCTCCACATAACACAAGTTCTATTGTGTAAAAATGCCTTTCTAAACTAGACCGTACTGACAAAAACACTTAAATCAACTCTTCTCTCTCTTCTCTTTTATTTTGATGTTTACTTTAAATTGTGTAACATTATAGTAGAAGTACACCACTTGAAATATGCTGCCAATAGTACTAGAAATGAATGCACTTTGTACATTGAGAAACATGACTACTAATTCGATGCTATCATTGAAATAAAGTAGACTGGTAACAAGAATGGTGAGTTATCTGTGATTTTTCCCACATTTTTTCATTTATTGATCCGAAATTAAACTGAAAAGCAATAACATAACTAAGAGTACTCTTTAGACCAATGTTTCCTAACTTTTTTTTCTGGGGACCCCTATTTTAAAAGTCACAAACCTTCGTGACCCAAGTCAATAGACATTATTCATAAATCACAAAATAAAGGTGGACTTGACCATTAGTGAGTGATTGTGTCTCTCTGAACAATTAGTATTACTCAAGTTTTAAACAATGAAAAACAGGAATTGAACCAGCAAGAAAAGGATCCATAAGTCGCCTATTTGGACATTTCATGTAGCTCATTTCTTTTTCTTTTCAACATTCAATTGAACCAGCAATACTGGAACAAAATAGGCAATAAAGTAATTACAAAAAGATTAGAAATTATACAAAACATGTCTTAACATTTCAACTTGTGTCAGAACTGTATATTGCAGACTTGACAAAAGACATGCAGATCGTGACAAAAGATCGAGGGTCGCAACCCAGTCCCAGAAACAATGCTTTAGAGCAGACATGTTAAACTTGGGCCTGGGGGCCAAATATGACCTTCAATATAATTATATTTGGCCTGCAAGATCATGTCAAATATATATTAGTGCTGGCTGCCAGCTACAGATAGGCTATAGAGACATTATTTATTTACAATTTTGTTGTTATTTAATTTTATACTAGTTTTGGATTCAGTGTTTAAGCAAAACTATTATTAAACATTTATTTTAATAAGAAAAGTTTAACATTATATATCTCAAAAGAAGAGAAAACATGCAGATGTTGCTGAAAATTTTCAATAAATATTTAGTTTGGCCCACGACTTAGTCTCAGTTTTTAATTTTGGCCCTCTGTGAATTTGAGTTTGACAGCCCTGCTTTAGACCCTGTTCCATGTCCTTTTACATTACATTTTCCAGTTTCTACACAGCTTCAACAGTGTTTTAAGGGCCTATTTTATAATGTTTCCTAATAAAAAACATGCCTGGAGTTGCATTTTGTTTCATTCGCACATGCCTAGCATGCAAACCCATGCAGGCTGAGTTCTTTTCTCAAACTGAAAATACTCTGATTCACCTTTTGACATCATGTGGTAAAATAAGAAGTCCTCCTGTATTAAAACATGACGTGTTTTGAAACTTCATACACCTTCACTAGAATCATTTGAATAATTTCAGCCCTGGAATTGCCACTTCTACTGAACTACAGGTAGCTGTTCCCTTGAAAACTACCACTACATGATATCACAAAGTGGAACAGAGCATTTTGAGCTTTGGAGATGTAGACACACTAATAAACCAGGATTCCTCAAACATGAATGAGACAAAATACAACTCCGGGCATGTTTTTGAGTAGATAACAACATTATAACATGGCTTAAAGCTCACAAGAATCAATTTTGTGTAATATACAACCTTTCACTTTTTTTTTTTTTGTCAAAGTCTGATGTCAGAAAGATAAGGATGGTTGGGCCTGGTTAATACTTGAATGAGAAATCGCTGAAAATACCATGTGGTGCAGTGGGACAGCAGTGGCTTTAGCAGAAACTGTTATTGTGTCCTTGGGCAAGACATTTCACTCACATTGCCTAGAATGAATGTAGTGGTCAAAGAGAGAGAGGCACAGAATGGCAGTCTCACTTCTGTCAGTCTGGTCCAGGGCGGCTGTGGCTACAAGCTTACAACCACTAAATATGGACTGAATGTTATATAAATCCAAAAACATTATAATATAGTAAGTGTCTGGCAAAAGGACACAAGGGCAGTATGAAGTGGTGTGATTTAAACGTCTGTCTTTTGCATGAAACAGATTCCTCCGCAGAGTAACCTGGATGAGCAGTGAGAGGTCCCTTTGTTTGTGTGGACTCACTCACAGGCTTTGTTTACACTGTGGAGCTAAGTTCCCAGTAACTTTGGTAATATTTAACATGAGACAGTACAGTTTTGGGTGACACAACCCAGAAACACACATCAAACACGCTGCTGCCATGGGAGGAACTTCAACTGCGGAGAGGTGAGTGCTATAAGACCTTTTTTAACAACAAAATGTGATGTTTTTGTGCATAGAGCTATAGTTTCAGGGGACAAACTTTGCATTTGTTGGTTGAAATAAAGTTACTGTAATCACAGAAGTTATTACTAGCCTTCTACAAGAGGCCATTTTGGATCAATAGTATCTGGATTAATGGATAGCTGCCGAAACTAGCAATTAGTACTACAAAGACGGAGTATGTGATGCATAGATTTTCATATCAGTCCAAATAGTACATAAGTAGTAGGTAATATTTTTAAATCTTCTGTTGACTAGATGCTTTTAAGGCAACATAAAATATAACAATAGATGTAAATATGTAGTGAAGAATCTCTGAAGCTATGTAATAACTTTGGTCTAATTTATAATGTTTCCTCATCAGAAGCAGACCTGGAGTTTTGTTTTGTTTCATGTTTAAGACACAAATCCTGCATATTTAGGCTGAGTTCTTCTCTGAAATGAAAAAAACTCTAATTTCAGCCCTGGAATTGCCAATCTGTGCTGAATTAAAGGTAAAAGATCTGGAGATGTAGACAGACCAATAATATAGAAATACTCAAATATGTGTGAATGAAACAAAATATAACACAACTCCAGATATGTTTTTGAGGAGGTAGAACATTATAACATGGTGAAAAGCTCACAAGAGTACATTCTGTGTAACATAGGAGCTTTCAACACGGTGATTTTATGCATAATTTCCTTTTTTACTTTTTTAATTTGTGATTGTTCAAATAATTTGTCTTTCTTACATCCACCTACTGTAGCCTACATCCCCTCTTCCTCCACTGTCCAATCAGAAAACTCCAGACTAAGAATAATATGTTTTATAGTCATTTGCTTCAGTCTTGTTTAAAGGTGCACTGTGTAACATTTCTGTTGGAGGGTCTGCCACCTGATGTCTCCATGGAACTGTTATTGATTTGTCTAGAACGTTCCACAGTATAGATTAAACCTGTCTATCATCAGGGAGACAAGCAGATTACAGCACTATGCTAAATGGTCAGATTTTTACAGCGCTTTTCCACCTACAAAGTACTCAAAGCACTTTACAACAAGGAACCACTCACCCATTCACACACACACTAGTGTGCGTAAACACTGGGGGCGAGGTGGATTAAGTGTCTTACCCAAGAACACAACTACAGCATTCACCTGTGGGAGATGGAACCACACAAGACAATGGATTTGAGGGTGAAACCACAATTCCACAATTCAGATCTGTGGAAAGTTGCTCCTATTCACAGAAGGAATAAATGCATTTATGAGCAATAGAAACACCAGAAACATCTCCATGGAGACAAGCAGGTGATGAACCCTCCACCAGAAAAGTTGCGCAGTGCACCTTTAAGGAAATATGTTTTTCTTCTTTTTACAGGTCTTTCAAACACCCCTAGCAATGAAGTTAAAAAACAACTATTGAAAGATGTCTCCTATCCCTCTCCTGGCCCTCCTGCTCTGCTGCACTTCCAGAGGTAAGAGCTGGACACACTCTGAACAAACACATCTACCACTGTGA